CCATCCTATATCCCATTACTTATAGCACTTAACCCCATCCTATATCCCATTACTTATAGCACTTAACCCCATCCTATATCCCATTACTTATAGCACTTAACCCCATCCTATATCCCATTACCTATAGCACTTAACCCCATCCTATATCCCATTACTTAAAGCACTTAACCCCATCCTATATCCCATTACCTATAGCACTTAACCTCATCCTATATCCCATTACTTATAGCACTTAACCCCATCTTATAACCCATTACTTATAGCACTTAACCCCATCTTATAACCCATTACTTATAGCACTTAACCTCATCCTATATCCCATTGCTTATAGCACTTACCCCCATCCTATATCCCATTACTTATAGCACTTAACCCCATCCTACATCCCATTACTTATAACACTTACCCCCATCCTATATCCCATTACTTATAGCACTTAACCCCATCCTATATCCCATTACTTATAGCACTTAACCTCATCCTTTAACCCATTACTTATAGTACTTAACCCCATCCTATAACCCATTACTTACAGCACTTAACCTCATCCTACATCCCATTATTTATACTATAACCCATTACGTATAGCACTGTACCTCATACTATACTCAGTGCTTTATTTTTAACTAAGCAAAAAAGTTATTGGTCTTCGGCGGCACTTTTGGAGGGGGTGGCATTTTCAAGCTCCTGGCAGATGTCCTGTTAGCCTCTTTCATGGGGGCCCAAGAGCTCACTGCCCCTCCCCCCTCCCAAGTCGTTCAGCTGCTCACATTGTGAGCAGGTGGCAAGAGAGCACTGTCCTCTGAGCTCCCCCTGCTTAGCTCCCTCGCTTGCCCTGCAGTGATGCTAGGAGCCGGAATATATCGTCACTCCGCCTCCCGGAATCTTGAAGCAGCATGTCTGCCCGCCCAGCAGCCAAGACAGCAGGAACCAGTCCAGCAGCAGAAGATTCCACTTTAGCTCTCCCAAATGTAGGGAGGCTGTGTGGATTTAAATTAAAATTTTAAAATATATATATATAATTTGTAAATGTGTGAGACAATGTGTGTGTGTGTGTGTGTGTGTGTGTCAGTATCAGAGTGTCTGTCAGTGAATGTGTGTGTGCGTGTGTCTGTAAGTATGAGTCTGTGAGTGTGTGTGAGTGTATGTCTGTAAGTATGAGTGTGTGAGTGTGTGTGTATGTCTGTAAGTATGTGTGTGTGTGTGTGTGTGTGTGTGTGTGTGTGTGTACCTGTCCGTCTGTGAGTGAATGTGTATGTGTGTCTCTGTCAGTGTATGTCGGGGTGTGTATCTATTAGGGAGTGTATGTGTGTGTGCATCTGAGAGTGTATGCCTGACAGTGAGTGAGTGTGTCAGTGGATGTCTGTCAGTCAAACTGCGTGTTAGTCTTAAATAGGAAGAGGTGCAGCCTTGACAGGAAGGGGCGGGGCAAATTTAGATTGGGGGTGCCGAGTTTCATCATGCCTAGGGCAGCACAAATCCAAAATACATCACTGACTATACCTCAATACTTCTAGCACTATTCCACATTTCAGTATGCTATACCCAATTAGTTATAGAACTGTACTCCATACTTTGTCCCAGTACTTATAGCACTGTATCCCAGTTTAACGCCATTGCTTTCAGCATCAGTTACCATTGCTAGTGATGATAAATGTGTCAGGTAGTGAGCATTGCTATGCAGTATACATTTGGTGAGCACTTACTAATAAGCAGTAATATGCTTTTAGAACACAGTGGTCTGGTTACCAGGAAGCATTGCTATGCATCACAGACTTGGCAGGCACATTGCTAGAAAGCATTGTCACTGCAGCAATGCAAGCCTTACACAGCTGGATGACAGCAAAGCTCCGCAAACTGAACTCTGACAAACTGAAGTTATCATCATCGATGCAAATTCATCAGCTGTTCAGATCAACACAGTAACAGCAGAATAAAGGAATCTGACATCTAGTAAACATTGTATCCCTATCTCACACATCACATCCCAAACAGGCAAAAAACAAAAACAAACAACAAAAAACCCACCACCTAGGATTGACATCAAAACAATGGAGAACCATCCATCAATTTGGGAAAAAATTTTTTTTAATGTGGCCTTATCTCGATGTTGGAATCAGAATTAAATTTAATCGCCGTCTCCTTCTTTAATCTCTTTCGCAGGTTTTCCCTGTATCTTTTTCCTTTACAGATTCCTTATAAATAGGACCCAGGCTTATTCCCCATAATTCTATAGATAGAGACAGCAATGCCATAGAATGTTAATGTAGCAGTCTGCCTTGCAGTTGGTCTTGAACCAGTGAAGGTGGGTTAGTTATCGCTACGCACCAAGAACATTGCCATGAATGACAAACGTCAAGGACAGAATACCAGCACGCACTGCAAAGCATCATACATATCACTTATATGCAGTCTGTGGAAACTAATATCATCTTTGGGTTTTGTACCCCTCCACGTCTCAGGTGCCTCATTATAAGCCCTGATTAAACACAGCAGTGCAGAGAGCTCCGACAAGATAGATGGCCTATATTAGTGGGTTCATTCCATACAGGTATTATGTTCTTATAGTGGAATCTGACTGAAATAGCCTCTGAATATTGGCAGGACTATGTGCAATGTATGATCACACTCCAATTAAACCCGCAGTTTCCGTTATTTTTGCCTATGCCAAATATTTTTAGGTTTTAGAGAACGGTGTGTGCTTTTTGCGGAGTGTTCTGGATCTTGCAGGTTTTATAAAATAATGCAGTGTACGTGTGTCCATCAATATCTTTGATGGAGCATGTGATAGGCAAAAATACATATATATTAAAATTAAATGTATAATTTTAGTCATCAAAATATTTTGTCATGGAACCAGTTAAATGATCATCTTGCAGTGATTCTTTTTTTTTTATTATGTTACCAAAAAAAGACAAGCTTGGCATAAAAAAAAAAAAAAGTCTCAAATAGGAGCTGGATTCATTTATGTTGTCACACTGGCCAACTAGATCTGCCGTTCAGTAGCCATTGGGGCATGAAATGACATGCCAAAAAGGCTTGTGCGGGTTTTAGATGAGCAATGTGTCTTGAAGGCCAAGCTTCCAGGAGTTATACCAGTGTTAATAAAGAGATTTGTCTTCATTTGGCAGCGCTGTCCGAATCGGGATGAGTATTACAAGGGGGGAGGGTGCATTTGCTATGGGCTTATTATGTGAAATTTGGAAAATCTGGGCTTTAAACATTTACAAAAAAAACCAAAAAACTGCAATATGAGAGTTTCTCCAAGATCAGAAATAAAAATGATAAAAGATACACATTTATAAGGAAGCAAGTATCACATAGAACTGGGTCTTCCCATATTCATACTTAACTACAACAAAACAAATCAATTTGTGAATAACATGTAGAAACTTGTATAGTATTCACCCTGGGGTGATTAGAAAATAAATAAAATAAAAAGATGAATTTTCCCAAAATATTAAAATGTATTTTTACATGTTACACTACCAAGCTGACACTGAATAGGGATAAATATGGGATTTATATATGAAAGACGTTTAATGAAAACAAAATAAATCTAGATCAGGTAGATCCCCAGATGTTGTAAAACTTCATCTTCCATGATGCTTTGTCATGCTACAAGCATGCAAAGCATCATGGGAGTTGTAGTTCTGCAACACCTAAAGATCTACCTTTTCGGTACCCCTGATCTAAATAATTGGAGGTGGATGTGGTCTTGTTTGAATTTGCCGTTTCCAGCCGAGCTATTTTGACCACAGATTTGAAATTCTCTAGTAAATAATCTCAATCATTTTATTCCACACTATAGGGAGATTTGCATCACTGAATTTAAGGTGTTCATGGGAGAGCTTCGTTCATTAAGGACATGTTTCAGACTTTACATAGTGCCAATAGCGTTTGCTTTCTTGAAGCATTAGGTAGTAAATCTCAGCATTTCTAATATTTGTTGGGATGTTTATGGCTCCACAAGTGCGGTTGTATATTAGCACTGCATTAAAGAAAAACCCTGCAGTGATTTGAATCTCAGCCAGTGAAGGTTTAAAAGAAAACTAAAAAAAATATAAAATACACTTTTGAAGGGCATTTATGACAAAAGGATTAAATTGTATAATTACATAAGGAGTAACAAATGCATAGATGAAATCTGATCTAACTTTCTCTCTGTTTGAGAAAACCCACACATTATTCAAATGAAAATCCATGTTAAAGGGATACTATAGTGCCAGGAATACAAAGCTGTATTCCTGGCACTATCACTCCCCCCTCCCCAGTAAAGGGTATAAAACCCTCTACTTAGCCAATCCTGGCGCCTATGTCCCTCGGCGCTGGGTCGACGCTCCGCCCCCTCCAACGTCTTGCGACGAGTGGGCTCTAATGCCGCGTGTGGATTAGACCTCCAATAGGAAAGCACTGAATCAATGCTTTACTAAGGGGGAAAATCTGATGCTGGACATCCTTATGCAAAGTTCCCTAACATAATGTACCAATAATTGTCTTTGATTTAATGCATATTTATATTTGATCTTGCTCATTGTTTGGCATATAGCCCATTCAAAATCGGTTGTTACACAAGAACACGGTTTTCCACCTAAACTTCGTCAGAGTTATCCAGTAAAGTGTGAATTGTTCTGAATTCCAAATTAAACATTTTAGGGTCAAAATGGCTGAACTGAAAACATGGCTGGCGTAGACAATTTTTACATTTCAACTATTTTGGAATATAAATGTAATATTCACTTTGGATTTCCATCAATGTGCACTAAAGTGAATACACCTGTATGTGACAAAGGTTTGGGGCGTATAAATTTGAAATTCACCTTGGATTCTAACTGTAGTAAGTAACCTTGCTGGTTTCAACAACAGGTGATGCTAATAACTGAATTAAAAAAAAATAAAAAATGGATTACTCGAGATACTTTTGATTTGTTTATAGAGCATTTAACGTTTGTACGTGAGCTCCTCTCCAGTTAGTTAAACTGTATTAGTTGTATTACAACCTCAATTAGCTAGTACAGTGTACGTACAACACAAATGTATATATCATTGATATGTTACTACCAGTTCTACTGTTGTCCGGTACATTTGCCATGTTGATCAGCGAGCTATCAAACCGTAAACATCTGCAGTGTGAAAGACAGCAGTCGCTGGTGTCATTTCATTATTGTTAAACGGGAGTCCATGCTGGGAAAAAACAGCTCTGCAAAGAGCACTCCAATACCCTGCATAGTGAATTATTTACTGAAACATTTGTATACACTCGCAAGATAAAATTAGTTTTTGTTTTTCAAAAAGATTATGAACACAACAACAAATTATCCTCTCCATTTCACCAGGAATTATTTTATTGCCACAGCTTAATTAAGTTTTAAAACAAAATTATCCATTTTCACATAATATATTAATAATCACAATTACCCTAAAAAGAATATAAAAAGGACGAATGAGTTCGTTAGGGAATGAAAAGTGAAATGGAAGTAAGGAACTTCTGAGTATTCATCTATGGTTCCCTGTAACCTGCTGCTGAAAACGTCTTCCACTATGCTCCCGTGACTTCACTGGACGCAGAGGTTAATATCGGGGGCTGTTAACGGCAGCTATTGGCATTTCACTTGTGGACAGAAGATTGAGGCAGTTCAGGCATTTTTTTTTTTTAGTAGTGCTGTCAAACAGGGGTACCCTGAAGGAGCGGCTGTAAAGGATTTTTTCCTGATTCTTTGCTTTCCTCTTTACCCTCTGCCTTAAGCCATTCCATTTTCTGCTGATGCTGGCGGATTGCGTCAGCTACACGAGCGTCAATCATTTCTTCGGTCAGAATGCCATCCTCGGAGGCGTAAGCAGCCGCCTGGGTTGAAGAAAATAAATAAATAAAAAAATAAGTCATGCACAGAGCCTTAAGTTTAATAACACAAAGCAATTATCAAATTTACCAATCCTGAAAAAGGACCTTTAGTCTGTGAATAGCATCTGCTCAAACAAAAGTCATCAGGATAGAGGACTTCACTGGATTAGGATTGGACTGCAGTGATGAAAATGTCCTGCCGCTGGATTACAGGTTAATGTATTGTGTTTTTATTATAACTGGAAAACACAAAACCAATCTACATAGGTTAAGAAAAAAACACTAAGAAATAAGAGTTTTGCTCAGTCTAAGAGCATTAGTGTCAAATAATTAAACAGAATACTAGAGTGTACTATATATTTACCAAGAAAAAACTACACACAAAAACTACACACCAAACTAAAAAATAAATAAAAATAATTACACAAGTTACTCAATATTGGTATAGAGTCTGCCAACCTTAAGCATTTAATCTAAGTTCTCACCATTTTGGATACACTTACATTAATGTTCTCATCAATAAATAATAAACCTCTGACATCAGAAGATGTGCGTGATTTTCTATAAAATAAATGTTTTTGTCCCTACGCATTCAAGAAATACAGAGGGCAATTAATTTTGGAAAAATGGCAATTAACTTTATATTGTCCCCCTATGTGTTTCAATCCTTCTGAATGTTCCTTTCACATACAGAACCTCATAAAATTCCTCAAATGCTTTCTCATGGGTTTATGTATAAAATACGTATGTGTTTTGGAATACAGACTCCCAAACTGCCAGCACAATATGAAAAACAGAAGGGTCTCTAAACAGATAACAGCAGAGACCGTATGTATGACACCATTGTGGAATGAAGTAGCTGTTTATAGAAAATGAAATGCTCAAAAGCTTTAAGTCCCAGAGAATATCCCACATTTAACTACATATCACTGCATAATACAGTGAGCCTACAAGGGTATTGCACCACAGAGCTGGTGGTGACAGAGGTACCGTCTTTTATTAATTCCCCCCCACCCCTCCCCCCCAATGATGCACTAGGGCTTATTTTCGGGGAAAGCTGGTAGTAAGCATGTGCTAGAAAGCAGGTCTATGTTCAGGAGAATTTCCCTGAACATAGACCAGTTTAATAGTGCATGGAGTACCGCAAATCTATGTTCGGGGAAAAACAGATTAGTAAACAAGCGACTAGTGCTTACATTACAAGCGTCCCCCAAAGATAAGCTAGGGCTTATTTTCAGGGGATGTCTTATTTTTGGGGAAACACTGTAAATACAGCAGTGTGGATTATAGCATTTAAGTTTTTTTGTTGTTAGATGCTATAAAAATGTATTTGTTAATTAAAGGGGATAGGTGAACAAAATATTAAATATCTTGAGAGGAGACAGTCCCCTTCTCAGCTAATAGTTTTTTTAAATTTTGGTTTCTTTTTTACTTAAACCATATACTCGTAAGCACGACTTAGTGTTTAAAGGAAGCAAGATAAAAGCACCTGTGTTAAGAGAAAGTGTTAATGTACAGAAAGTAGCAGACAGAAACAAACTTAGACAGACAAAATGGCTGAAATGGAACCGTCTCCCTATTTTTGAAACCTGGGTCACTAGAACTCAAAAAATAAACTTCACACAAAATAAGCTTTAACTGTAATCTTTCATTTGTTAAGAAAAATTAACTTGGAGAGTTAAAAATATGAAGAGAAATATAAATGGTCTTAGAAACATACATGCCCGCCTGTCTGCCATAGTCACACAGCCCCCACTACAAGGGCTAATGCCATCTCTAAGGCTTGCGGGGAGCAGTGTTAGTTGGGAATGATCTATCAAGGAAGAGACAGGCCCTTTCAAACTGAAAATAGGTGTTTAAAACTACTGCAGTGTATCAATGTGACGTCTGTCAATTTAAAAAGCAAGAACCCCCCGCCCTCTTCCTTGCACTGCAGGGAAAATAAACTAAGCTGGGCACAGCACAATTGTAAACACGAGACGTGGTGCACGGTGACAGCAGCTTGCAAAATGTGTCAATTTTCAGGGCTGCCTTTGCAGTGGTTAATGAGGTGAACAAGTGCTCTGCTTAATGGAAGTGCAATTCTGCTGGTGAATGCCTGGGAATCTGGAATATTAACATACAGCCAACCAATTGTGTAAATGGCATTAGCCAGGTGAAAAGGCCCAGCCTCCTCGCAAACTGCTTTCTAGAGGGATTTTTCAGTGCACTGACTGTGTAATGTGGATTAACGGGAAGGGGAGAGAATCCCCCCTCCCTTCATCCTTCACCGAAGGTTAAAAAGAACGATACATTTAGAAGAAGCGGAACCTTTGACACTTTATGGAATAGGAAGAAAGTCACATTATCTGTCCCAGACACAGGTTGAATTATGCGCGGGTCAGAATCCATTATGAAATAAAATAATATACTACACGCACAACCGCTTTAGAATCTGCAGGGATCACATTATCGCTTCCCCGCGTTTAAATACTGCACTAAACCAAAGAACAGCATGAGGGGATATTGGCTACAGGTTGTGGTTGCTTCTTGCATAGAAAACCAGATGCTCAAAGCCATTTTACTAATAGGTTGTCATTGTAATACAATTATAGCAAGCACAATGGATGTTTACAGCTGGTTACAAAATGTGAGGTGCACAGCGCAATCTATACAACAAAATGTATAATAAAATCCAGTCTGCAGTAAGCTGCACATAGACAAGGGCATTCCCATGACAATCTCCTGGTATATAATCTACCACAGCCATTCATAACCCAGTGCGGACCACTTCTATGATTCAAGACATGAGCATTGCGAATGCGGACATTTTATAATGGGGTCCCTGGTTAAGGTTATACTGAACTAGCTATGTAAATGTGTGGCTAACATTACTGATTCAAATTCGCTAGATAACAAGATTGGCACCTTTATTTTAAGTGGAAATCATAGTGAAAAATAGATGGGGGAAAAAATTATATAATTAAAAGATATGTAATGGAGTATTTTACAGCTTTATGGTTTTTTTTTTCTTTCCCTTTTTCATTTGGGCAAAGGAGTTTGCATGTTAAAAGGAAAATGGCAGTATTATAAAGTATACAGGGTTAATTACGAAAGGGAAAATTCAATGTAAGTAAAGGAGAAGATTATATTTAAGAGAAGAAAAACAAGAGGACAGAGTCTTAAATTAGAGGGGCAAAGGTTTAAAAATAATATCAGGAAGTATTACTTTACTGAGAGGGTAGTGGATGCATGGAATAGCCTTCCAGCTGAAGTGGTAGAGGTTAACACAGTAAAGGAGTTTAAGCATGCGTGGAATAGGCATAAGGCTATCCTAACTATAAGATAAGGCTAGGGACTAATGAAAGTATTTAGAAAATTGGGCAGACTAGATGGGCCGAATGGTTCTTATCTGTCGTCACATTCTATGTTTCTATGTGAATTTTAAACTTTAGGCAGAGGTAGTTTAACTGTAAGCATTGCTGACAGAATTTTTCCAGTTCAGCTATTTTGGCCTTAAAGGAACACTATAGTCACCCAGACCACTTCATTGAGATAAAGTGGTCTGGGTGCAGTGTCCTAATCTTCTTAACACTGCAATGTGACATTGCAGGGTTAATTCCTCCACTACAGGTGCTTCCGTGGAACAAAACCCCATAATGTGACACGAAAAACCCGTAGGAAAGCATTAACATAATACTTTTCTATTGGGAATTTTGAATGCCTGCGTAGTGAATGTGCATTAGGTCCCGAATGCTCCTCTAAGAGAAGTATTGGACTAGACACTCACGGAGGGTGATTTCAGCAGGGGATGGGAGGTTAGTAGTGTCGAGGGAGCCTCGGTGTTTGAATACGTTAAGCAACAATTATTTTTTGCTGGTGGAAGTACAGATGACACTGATTTAGAGGTAGGGAGAGGGACACTATAGTGTTAGGAATTCAGGTTAGCATTCCCAACGCTATAGTGTTCCTTTAAGTTTGAATTCTGAATACCAACTTCAGAAAATAACCTTGATAATGCTCGGGGCACCCTGCAGGAGTGGTTCTGCTCATTCTATACCAAACATACTCTTCTTAACATAGCATGACAATAGTGATAGCAGAATATCTCAGTATTCACCATTAAATACACATTTTTGAGTGAGAAATGCAGAAAATTTACTTTACTCTGCAGAGCCTTTGTCAACTATAAAAACATTTTAATCCCTAAACCCAATTACAGCTGGTAACCAACTATCAAGTGTTCTATTGAAATTTCACGAAATGCCAACGTACAAAACAGTGGTGCATCCTTGACGTACACTGCAGATAAATTCTACATCACAGATGCCAGTTCCTTAGAATTGCATACGCCTTACTGCAAATAAAGCTCAATTATCAGGGGATTTCCTTGCCCTCTTAAGAATGGTTTTGTAAAGCTGAATATGGAGGGTTTTATAAGAATTAAGCAATCGAATCCCCCACCTCTGTTTCTACAAAGCTGTCCAGCACTGCATTATTTAGGAACAAGCAAAAAACTAAATGTTTTAAAACATTAACACCCTTTACTAATCCTATCGCCAAGAATCCAAGCAGGATTTCCCCTGTAATGACTATAAACCTTATTGTTTAACCCCTAATTCATAAAATGAAGACAAATCACCAACCGGAATTCAAGCAGAGAATTAAGCTTTGTTAAATAGGAAATAAAAATAAAATCATAGCTTGGGAGGCTAAAACATGATTTAGATTTGTCCAGTAAAGCAGACATACCTGGACCATAGTCAATCCTCTCTTACATTCACACCCTTAGCAAATCTCGCCCTGTATGTACGGTTATAGAAACCATTATGGCATTTTAATTAAACCAAGATTAGAGATATTTCAGAGAAACAGCTGAAAGGTGCAGTGTGATGGCACCGATAAACCCCCACCCCCCTTTTTTTATACCAGTGTGGACATGCAAAACATTGGAATGTGATGTATTAATAGGGTATACGGAGATTCCAGCAGTGAAGGCGTTAATGTTTCCAAGTAAGAAGGCGGCGCAGTAGTGGCTGCAAGCATCACATTTTGCACCTAATACCCACAAAACTGTGCATCCCTCGCAAGCCATCAGAGCATCCCTGCATCCAGCCGCTGAACACTGCCAGGCTTTGCGCTTGGATGCTTTTCTGAATGACTTTCTAAAAATAGCAGAGTTGCGGGGTCCCTTCCTGACAGGGGAAAGCGGATGGGCATGGAAAGAGGAGGAGGGGGAGAGAGGGAGGGATGGGAAAGACGACGAGAGAGAAGAGTGGCTGTCTCTGATGAGAGCTAGCTGCTGGCGTACTGAACCCAGCGTCCCGTCTCATTCATATTCATACATTTTATCTCCCCCTGCGCACATGTTAACCCATTTCCGCAGACTTGGCTGACAAAGCAACTCTTCAGCCGAGCTAGAAGGCGTGATACCCTTTAACAAGGTTACTCTCTCTGAGCAGACCTGGGGACAAAGCTCTAGGTTATGTGAACATAGTTAATGTATTCATCTGGACAGATTCTCCTTCTCGGCAGGGTGCAGAGGTTACCATTTGCTTCTTAATTTACTGTGCACTAATAAATTATGCAGTGTTTATCAGCGCAAAAGGAAAGACACAAACACAATCCAATAGAACAATTCCATCAAGCCTCACATAACCATACACAGCAACAATACAAAGCAAATCGGTCTCTCCAACATGAGCAACATATCTGGATCGATCATTCGAGATCTTGCGGATTTATTCAGACACCAGGTACACTTGCCCAGACACACAAACACACAGGGAGGTGTATTTTAATTACAGTCCTGAAATCATCTGGTGAGAATAGGTCAAAACAGGGTTTGTGGCATTAAATGCATTTAAAGAAAATGTACGGCTGTTTATTTGTTACATACGATAATGATTAATGGAAGTAAATAATAGACGACAATTCATAAAAATGTAGACATTGTGGGGAAAATCGTGAAAATAAGTGCTAGTAATAGTAACATTTTAAATATGCACATATTGCCACATTTAAGAAAATTGGATCCTACTAACAATGCCAAAATAATGGACACACTTTTTTTCTTTTTTTAAATAGCTCTGCCATCTACCCTTTTTTCCATTTAATCATCACTTAATTATATAGTATTTATTATGCTTTTTACATTTTGGTGCCTCCTCTGCGTGATAGTGGAAGCCAATATGATAAGCCTATTATATACGGTAAGCCTTTTTGGGTACGCTCACCAATATATCTTACAGTAAAGAAAACAAAAATTATAGCTTTTTTTTTTAATGAAAAAATAATTAGCACTGTTCCGTTAACTTGAACAGTACCAGCATGGCCAGGGTGAAAGCTCTCTTCTTTACTAAAAGCTTCTTCTAAGTGCCAGCGGGCTTCTATCTGGTGTTAAAAGTAAGGACCACTGTATGCATGATGGCCATCCTTTGCAGAAATAAATGGATCGAGCTTAAACAGTCATTACCCACAAGCCATATAAGCGCTCCCCAGTTCAAATGCAACCAGTGAGATATGTAAGTTAGCAGCACTGTATCAAGATAAAGCTTTCATATTATACTCATTTCATATCCCCCCCTCCCCCAAGTCATTCTGAAAGATTTAACAATATATCGAACAAATTCTGTTCTGTGGTCACTGCCACAAAGTAAACATTTAAAATAATCACCATTCATTTCTTAATGGACTCAGATCACAAATCATATAAATAATGAAAATACAGATATTTAGCTAGAAATTGAATACACGGATTTTAGCAGTTTTCGAAGAAGCCACAGAGTATTCACGTTGCAAAAAATAGCTAAAGGGTCAATACTGCTTTCCATAAAAATAGAATAACTGGGATGTGAACAAATTGTCATATTGTAGTACCCTGCCAGGGGTTATCACTCTAGCAAAAGGAATCTCTTTAAAGGCAAGTTGTTTTATGCAAAGGGTTGCATATGTAAAGAACCAGTATATTGTCTTTACATCAAGTCTTGTAAAACAGGTTGCTTTGTCACAGCTGCAATGAACAGTCTTGCCCCTTCCATTCTCTCCACAGTAGCACCATTAACGCTGCTTTTAAAATCTATCCTGCAGTGGCACCCCTGATCCACGTGCTACGCATCTACTGCAGAGCCAGGAATAAATTGCTTCTTACAATCAACCTGAGCCTGACAAAAGGCAAAGCAGTCTACGGGGAGACAGTCAATGTAAACGCTTTCGTTCAATGCGGCAGCAGCACCGAGGCTTACCACACTTCGGCCCTCACTAATGTAAATGGTTATCCACCCAGCGGAGATAATCATCTTAAAATGTTGCTCTGCAAAGTCATTTTCTGCAATTTGTCACAGACGCTGAGCTGCCTGAGCTCAATCGTCCGGCGCAGTATCATTTGCCTGTTCGCATCCTTTCCCTTTTAACAATATTATTTCGTTTTTTTCCCTATCACCCAAGGGAGGAAAAAAAAACAAAAAAAGGAATCCTATGTAAATAACCAAAAAAAAGCAGCAGAACCGAAAATACAATTCGAAATCCTTGATAGACTGCGTGTGGCAATTGGATTAAGACGGTTGGAGAAATTAGACATTAGAACTGTAAAACTATTTTTTCCAGCACAATCCAGGTTAAAAAACACAAAGTGTGCATATGAGTATTGTTAGATGTTAGAAAGTGATCCTAAGTACACTAAAGGCATAGGGGGATTATTGATATTCAAGGATTCAAAGAAGCAGAAGGTTTAGAATAAGGCCCCCAATGTATTTTTTTATAAGCTTTTGAAAGGATCACAATCTGCTGAAAAAATGATTGTGTCTACACTAGACCTTAAAGGGACACCCACTCTACCCAAATAAATCTAACTGCCTGTTTAGTTTACCTCTATTAAAAAAAAACAAAAACATGCAATTATATTATATTAAGAGTACATCTAAAAACAGCTTGCAAAAGCTGCAGATCTTTTGTCTGCTGCCCTTGTAAGCCCTCCTCATCTAACCCAGCACAGATTTTCTGTGGCTGCCCAATCACAGTCTTCCCAATGGAGCTCAATGACAAGTCTTTGCAAGGTGGGTGCTCTTGGCAACACCTTCAGAGTTAAGCTCCACTGAGCTAAGCAACCAGGAAGTAACAGGACTGGTTGCTTGACTGACAGCTAGGGGGGTGTAACAAGGTACATTTCTAATCGTGCCAATTTCTATTGAAAACCGCACTTTTTGTAAAAAGAAAGAAACTATTTGTTTTCCTTTAATAGTGTATTTTGGACATAAATTATTTGAAAATATTTTCTGACAGACTCATTTGAAAAGCATATGCAAAAAAATTAATAAAAATTGAAGTCTAAATTGGGAGACCCTTACTAAAATCATGTAGTGTGTCTTTCTCTCCTGAATACACAAGATTCTTAATTTTTTGGTTGTGATTATTTAGTTTCAGTACTATTTCCAAGGGAGCTACAACACCAGGGAAGTATAATTACTTATTTTTACCACATGGTGTATATTTGTATGTCTGTCTATTTGTGGGTAACAATAGTTTGTGTTGGCCATGACCACTGTAGAAGTGTTTAATATGGGGGCTAGAAAGCGGAGGCATGTGCAGGTACCACCATCCTCCCAAGATGACCCACATAAACAGGCATAATGATACCATGAAGAATTTAGCTGTGCACAAGCATGACTCATAATAGTTCCGATTTTGTCGGGACAGCCCCATCATCCCGCTTTTGGGGAAAAAAGATTCCACCTATTCAGAGTATATGGTCATGCATCCTTTTAATAATCTGCTACACTGAATGGTGCAGATTGGCCTAGCTCCCATTATCAGCTAAACTATAAGTCTACACATGGTCTCGGTAAAAGTGCAAGAAAATATAGAGATTGACAGGAAGGATACAGAACATGTTTCTCCGGGTCTGTGCAATGCAATGTAACACTGGTTTTGCCCCATAATACACGCAGTTCAATGCGCAGAGACAAATACATTGTATTCTTAGCTGTACGCATGTTACAGGTCACCAGCTTAGTATTAAAGAGGAATTTATTCCCACCAACCTACGCTGGTGCCCAATACTTAGAGGACATGACACAAAGTTATAGTTAATAAAAACAAAGAAACCATTTAAAGTAGACAGTATATAAAAGTGAAGGGAGGATCCCATTGGGGCTGTGGATTTGGTACAAAAAAAAAAAAAAAAAAAACACCTTTGAATCAGACTCCTCAATGCATAGTCACCACGTTTGTGACTAGAACAAATTGGAAATGATATGATTCACAGATGAAAAACAGACCTAAAGCCATCATGCAATATTCTATACTTCTTTCTTTTTTCCTTTATATCAAGAAGACATGGACGATAAATCAGGCACAGACTGCACCCAGTGTGGACATCTCCCCAATGTCCATTCAAAATACAAAAACCAAAACTTTATTAACAAATCAACTTCCATCTCACCTGCCATGCTACTCCTAGTTTGGAAATCTCTCTGCCTGACATGCCTTCAGTCAGCGTTGCAAGCTCAGAGCACTTTTTCCCGTAGTCGAATTGGGCAAGTTTTAAACGTCTGAGAATAGAGAAGGAAGATACATACAAATATATTTGATTCTACACTTGGGTGATATTCACAATGTACATCCAATAGGTTTAAACCTTTGAAGCCAAAGAAATTACAAGATGCAACATGTTAGAATAATTACGATGTCTCACAAGCCACAATTTCTGCTTAAGCCTGCTAAATGCAACTGGACTTCAAACCCCATAATTAAGTAAGATAAGGAATTTAAGGGATATGTAGTCCAGTGACATTTAGCTGTCCACAATTAGATAGCCAAGTGGCACGCCAGAGACAGCGTCCCTTATCAGTCCCTCAGCAGTGTCAATAAAAGAGGTCACTGCTCAAAGACGCTTATGCTGTACAAAGTGCCTTTGAGGGAGACATGGCAGGGGTAGAAAAGGGAAGTGGTCTTGCACATCAATGGAAATGTAGGATAAAGTACCAATTTATGCTATATAAAATTTACACTAGCCACTGTTTCTTTGCAAAATGGTTAAAACGTCAACTGCGCATACTTACTGCTTGCCTTCCGATGCAGGTTTTAAGACGTATTTATCAAAGTAAAGTCTAACAAGACGCTCTCTCTCCTCCAGTCCTGGAAGAGCGAAGTTGACAATCTCATCTATTCGGTCATTTATTGCCCAGTCAAACTGTTCAGGCTGGTTGCTTGCCAATACCAACATAAACCTGGGGATGTTGAAACAAAGAAAAAGTTACAAAAAACACTCTGCTTACGCAGAACTGAAACATTTCATAACAGGCTGAACTATCTTGAAAGACACAATTGACAAATTTGTTGGTTTCTATGGTGAACGATTCCAAATTTAGCCTTTTATCTTAGCACTACTCAGTTTCTGCTTTGACAAACAGGACAATGAATGATCAGTCAATCCTGTTAACTGCACAACATAATGGATCTTAGAATAGTCAGAAGCATCATTCTGTATATCATCAGAATTAGCTGGTAGTTTAAAACAGGATACAGGGTGGTATGGCCCAACAATGGAGGCATGTCATTCAGCGGTGAACATGAAACCGAGCCAATATGCCAGGCTGCCAATCACTGATAAACCAACTGTGCACTGGGTGGCTCGTTTCCCTGCATGTGTGAGTAACCTCTCCAGGGTTCTAGAAAACCATTACACTTTGCCAAAGTTATTCACTAAAGTGTGAACTGTCATGAATTCAAGGTGGATTTCAAAATTTGGGCAAAAATGGCAAAATTTTCTACGTTTGACTATTTCATCCTAAAATACAATTTTTACTCTGAGTTCCCAACAAATCATGCTTTTGTGAAAAACCCCAAGTTGGTTTTGTCTACAAAAATACACACACACACACTCTTACAATGATATCACATTTAATTATGCCAAGAAATGCCATACAACATACAACTCTGCCACAATCACGTGTGACCATTAAGCATGTAAAAAAAATACATGATTTTGTAAATACTGTAGGCAGATATACCCAGGCACCAATAGGGTTACACTTTCTAATCATCAGCAAGTTGATTTTTATGGCTTTGACCTCTGAAGATCCAAGCATAAAACATTTAGCAAGCTCTCTAAGGGGTAATTCAGAAATGACTGCAGTGGCCATTTCAGTAGTTATTAGAGGAAAGCTCCCATTGACTTCAACAGCCACTTCAAACTATATTAAATTACTACCTAATAAAAGACATCTGTCCTCACGCAAAGTGACAGAAATAAGGATTTATAGTGCCGCTTTGATCCTTTTATTTAAGAAACACACCTTTACAATAGGTCATTTTTAAAGGAGCCACCATACAGAGAACAAACCACTTTCAATAACATTGTGAAACTTGTGTTCTCTTTCACAGATTCAATAACAAGGTATACTGCAGTGCTACATGCTAACAATGTAAATGTACAGAGATATCAAAGTAACATCGTGATAAAAACGTTGAAAAAGGAGAGGGTGTCCATGCCGGTAAAAAAATTAGCTAAAACTTCATAGACCAGAGATCCATTTACATCTATAAGGATAAGGAGAGATCCAAAAACCACCCAATTCTTCTAATTTTAAGTTCTCTTAAAACAGGGCAGTCACTACCTCTTGTTCTAGTAAGTTCGAATTGGTGTTATATTTACTGTATTTCTAGAGTAGACCATCTATTACATAGCACCAAAAACAAAACAAAACAAAAAACCCAAACACACACACACACACACACAACCCCCCCCCCCCCACCCAAACTATTAAGGATTGCCTTTTAGAATACACTTTTTTTTTTTTCTAAATCTCGGGGTGAAGTAGTACTTCCACCTAGTACTTTTTTTGATTCACTTATATAATAATAAAAAATTTCAATTACACCAATTTTGCTCCAGAATTAATTCAAATTAATGAATTCAATAAAATGACCCATTTACCATCTTTCTGCAGTAATAAATATTTTTTATTTTTTTTCAATTATATGTGAAAACTAGACCGCACCAATTTTTATTTTTCACGGAAATCCTAAAAAAAAATTCTCATCAGGTAGCTCTAGACCCTAGCACACTGTAGCGACATTCACTGCATTACACTGGGGTTTCTCCATCAAATCCATGATTGGTGTAAATGATTTGGCCGAGGGACGCAGCCACCAGGTAACATGTCGTCATGGCTTATTCTTCGTTTTTTCCCCTCCTCCCGTTTATTTAGCTCATCAGGGCAATCACCAGTGCATTCACAGAAGTCTGAAATGCCTAAACTACAAGCTTTGTCCAATGCAAAAATTTGTTTTGCTCTAATTTAAACAAGCCCATGAAAGAGAATTCAATAGTAATTGAGAAGAGATCATGCATGGGTAGAAATGCTCTGCAATGGTCTTACTCTGCGGAGATCGCATTTTGTCGCATGCATATCTTGTAGGTCTACAGGAGCAGATTACTAAATAAATACTTAAATAACAATGCATTTGAACTAAATAAAATATAACAAATTATTTTTTTTTGCCAATCATTCACAGACTAACCAGAATGTAGAATGTCCACAACTATGTATATGAGCCTTTATTGACACACACACATACACACTACCATTTATTAAGTTTGTTTTCTAACGATAATAAAATAAAGCAATGATCTCTTGCTGACACCACGTGAAACTCTCAAATATGCGATGGGGGGCTTTGCTGTACTACATAGTGTAAAAAATGTAAAATATAGTACTGGCCAAGTTCCTTTTAAGGAACCGTTTTCATTTTAACCACTAGACAAATATTGGTCATCATGAGCATCTGCCTATTGGAAGAAATTGAATATTGGATTACACTATAAGTAACCAACATTTGTAGAAAATAGTTAAATAGTTTGGAGCGGAATTTTTATCCATAAGAACAAAAATAGAAATTACTTGAAATGAACCTCAAAATATTACATATTTTATATCACAATGTCCCTCGCTGTGGCTTCCAGTAGCAATAAAACCAGCTGAATTATAAATCGGGCAGCTCTTTATTTGTTGCTTGTATTTCATTACCTATACTGTGCACAGAATGCATGTCATTTTAACAAGCTGGCCCATTAGCATGGCTCATTATGGTACAAAAAGACTTTATCGCGAGGCATTAATCTACCCGCAGCAGGGACAGGACAGCATCTCCCACTTAACTCCTTCAATATCACAGGATTCATACACGGGTTGTAAACCATTCCTTATTTAATAAAATAACGGCGATCGTTTAAAGTAATAGTGGATGCATGTGAACTGCAAGCAGATCATCATGTATTGATAATTGGCCTGGTTTTTTTTGCACACTGTAATGTGGAAATAGAATGTTTAAAGTTAGTATTTAATGTCTCTGCAAACCAGGTGATTAGCAAGAAACTGAGGACACAAATGGACATTAAAATGAAAGCCACGTTGCAAATAAAAAAACCTCTGTCCTGCTGAATGCTAAACCGTGAAACCAACAAAGAACAAAAAACAAACAAAAATTAGCCGAAAAATGTATAAACCACAGATATCCTTAGATATCCAGAAAAATGCAAGCAGCTGCTAGTCACATGAAATGGGCAGTTAAATGACCTAGCACTAAAGGATATGTAAGGATAACAGAAAAGATCAAAAATGAGTTGGCTAGTAATGTCTAGAATACACACACACACAAACCATTAAACACATCAAAGGAACAAACCATGCAAGCAATGCATAGGAAATTAACTGGTAGATCAGAGGGTACGCATTTATAGATGTCCCCATGTGGCTAATCTGGCATTTGTAAAATGGGAACTATGTAACATAAAAGGTTTGATAACCTGTGACTGGATTGCAACTCCCAATACTCTCTTAATGGTTGCATACTACACTCTCCTATCCATATACTAGTAAGCGTTTACTTAGCCTGGTATTTGCAACGGCACGTACTTGTTACTTTGTTCCCCTGTTCTGTAAAGGAAGGCATTTAGTGTTGCCCGCAGATCTTCGCTGATCTTTTCCTGGAAAGATAAAAGACAGAAAGGGATTAAAATGATAAGGTGATAAAAGTAGCAAATTCAAGTATATTTGAGGTATTAAATTATATCCACTATCCCCAAAAATCGTTAAAACCCCACTTCTTCATAAAAGCGTATTAATTAAACTATTAATAGCTCCTGACTGATTCCTCTTCTGCAACGGTCACTTGTCTAATACTATCCTTACCTTTTTATGTCATTTTACCCCACTCCCTCTAGCATGTAAACTCATTGAGCAGGGCCCTCAACCCCTCTGTTCCTGTGTGTCCAACTTGTCTGGTTACAACTACATGTCTATTCGTCCACCCATTGTAAAGCGCTGCGGAATTTAATGGCGCTCTATAAATATAATATTAATAATATCTAGCAGTCTTCTATAGTTGTGAAAAGTGGAGCATGCCCCTGTAGGAATTTAAATAACTCTTGTTTACCTTGACACTCCAAATATTTGTGAACTTTATTACCCATGATGCTTAAATATCTGCAGGACAAAGGCTAGACATCACTTCTAGGAAGAGGGAACGGATCTCCGCAACAGTGAATGGGGGGACCACCTAGGCAAGGAGTGTGCCAGTGATTTACCTCCCAGAAGCTGCGGTTAACCGCAGCTTAATTTGTGAACACTGGGTGGCCGCTGTTCGTATAACCGAACACGTGGCAGCGGCCATCTTAAACTCCCGAACGGCCAGCGGTGTTCAGCTCCAAATCTATGGAACTCAAAACTGACACTTATTTGCACGAACACCGCTGAGCCGCCGACCTCCCTTCTCCTGCAATTCATACGAACGCCGTCTGTTCGGTACTCTCCCTATGGGAGTAGTGTTACCCCAGATAGCTATGCCATGGAGCCCATTCATGTAACAAAAGACTATGTGAAAGACTTTGGCTCCATGGTGATTGAACTGTATGTATGTGATCTGAGCGCCATTTGGTAATCATGTGCGCTCAGATCTAAGCTATCTGGGGATATGTTGAATGTATATGTTTTATGTAGTAATTGTAACACTGTGTAATTTTATGTCTTTTTACCAACATGTGGCTAATTGAGTTTTGCCTCTGTCCTTGGAGATAATTGGATTACTTCCCAATTATCTCCAGGACAGAGAGGAGGGATTATAATGCATTGTGGGAGTATTTAAATGTGTAAGCTTGTAATTGGTCAAGGTCCACTATGTATCCCAGTTCTCCATCTGGTCCCCTAGGGGAGTGTCCACCAGGTGGAAGACCTGCATAAAAGCCGGGAAGGTAGCCCCAGTAAATCAGTTCTGCTTGACCCTCAAATGAAGTGTCATCTCGTTCTTGGGGGGAATTGGATTGTATGCTGTTACAGTGCGACTGCCAGGAGTGTAAACTGTTCGTATGGTTTTTCCTGTTCGGCTGTTTACAGCATTTGCATGTTTCCTGTTCGGGAGTTGGAGTATTCATGTGTTTGCAGTTCGGGAGATTGGTGATTACGGTAGCTGCTCGTCTATCTGGAAGAGGAATATTGCCTAAACGGATTTTAACCCCTTGTGTGCTTAACGGTCCGTTACAAAGGGCTTCTGAAGGAGGTTTACCAACGTGGCAAATATATTGGGATGGACTTTAAAAAACAAACAGACAATTAATCCCTTAATGAATATAAAAAAAAAAACCAAACAAACAAAAACCCTGGAAATCAACAGTGACACTTAATAGTAGAAGCATATATTTTTACCTTATCATCTTTCTCAGCCTTTTGTCATGCATTTAGAATATTTTAGCATACATAATAAAATATGTAGCGAGATAAATAGCAGGATCACCCGTACACTACAATCTAATGTTGCATTCAAAATGGCAGCTTTGAAGAGGACAGTGGTGGGAGTGTAATATATGTCATAGGTACATCCGTCAGTCTGTTACTATGTAAGGAGTTGGAGCAATCTATTTATTTGAACATTTCCATAAATAGGTCTCACCCTACTTGTCACAATAGCTGTATTTGAGTTGCAACTCTTAGCTAGATACTGGAGTACATTATTCCTGGCAAAGCCTAAATCATTAAGGATACAATACAATGATCTATTGTAGTCACACGTGCATTTATATTAAGTAAAACAACACACTGAATCCTCTCTGAAGAATGACTAAAAAGAAGCTCAACGTTTTACCAAAGGGATTGGGGGGAGGGGAGACTATCAACACAGCAAACTGTGCCCATTTAACGTCCAAGCATCACCCCCCCCTTTTCTTGCCGAGGTAAAAAGAAAAACAGGGAAATAAACGGGGAACTGTCTCAAAAGCAAAACAACAAAAAACAAAATCACTACACCATACCGTGGATCTCTTCCTGAGAAATGCATCAGCTTCATCCACGAACAACAGAAGGCTGTGGAGGGGGAAGAAAGAAAAAGCAAATTCGGCTAAATTAGAAGATGCAAAGTACTTGGGCTAAATGAGGGGAATCTGCACAGAGACTGTTCTATCACTGGCTGATTGTAACATTACATTGGAACACATACGATGACTATTGATAAAAGATTCAAGTACCAACGGAGCCACCTTTAACATATTAAAGAGGAGGCTAAAACCTGCAATTGGGAGAGTATCTGTAAATGGATTTATATCCCAGGACTAGATAATAGGACAGGAATATGGTATATCCCGGACTAGATAATAGGACAGGAATATGGTGCAACTGAAGAACTGAACAAGAGAACAGAAGTCACGATTGGGTTAACACCGACTTTTTCCCACATGGGTCTATTTTAGGAAAGTCTTTCCGCACCTATGAGAGGAAAATGCCCTAGTTTCCATTTTAGTATATGGGTCAGGCTAACATAGCAGAATGGGAGCTCACAGCAGTCTGCTTTTCAGAAAGACAAATCACAGTCACGACTCCAGGACATTGTGCATTAACCCGCAGGTCTACAGTGGCTTAAAGGAATATTGGATTGCAGGATTTATAGTTTACCAACAGCTGAGAGAACCTTGCATCACCACCCTGGGTCAACCTGACTCTCTATTCCAGGGGTGCCTAGAAGGTAGAGCCCCAGATGTTGTAGAACTATAACTCCCATTAAGCTTTGCGTGCCTTTAGAATGACAAGGTATCATGGAAGTTATAGTTTTAAAACATCTGGGCATCTACCTTTTTTGCACCCCTGCTCTAATTTCTCCGTACTGTGTGCTCTTCAGCATCTAAAATGTTTATAGATCTCTCAGATGAAAATTACCAATATTATTTTTTCCTAGCATTTGTTGCTATACTTACCCTCTCTTGCTTGTGTTTGCCCAGTCAAAAACTTTATGCATTGCGGTAACTCCTTCTCGCCCCATGGGGGCAACATCACCTCCGGTCATGATGGCGTAATCCATGCCAGAATGCACGGCTAATTTCTGTGTGGAAACACAAAGTAGTCTAATCAATATTTAAGAGCCGTAATCATAGGGATTCTACCGGTTTGTCATTTTCATTTGTTTATATAAGTGCATATGTATTTTTAATTTTTAATATAAATATTTGCAATTTTTCCCTCAAACTTGCTTTCTAGATTTCTCCAGCCACATCCAGCTCTCCTTATGCCAGTTCATAGGTATCTACCACTTTATGTATTTCCTCCAGCCACGCTCCTCCTTTACACCATTCTCTCTCCAGCCACGCTCCTCCTTTACACCATTCTCTCTCCAGCCACGCTCCTCCTTTACACCATTCTCTCTCCAGCCACGCTCTTCCTTTACACCATTCTCTCTCCAGCCACGCTCCTCCTTTACACCATTCTCTCTCCAGCCACGCTCCTCCTTTACACCATTCTCTCTCCAGCCACGCTCCTCCTTTACACCATTCTCTCTCCAGCCACGCTCCTCCTTTACACCATTCTCTCTCCAGCCACGCTCTTCCTTTACACCATTCTCTCTCCAGCCACGCTCCTCCTTTACACCATTCTCTCTCCAGCCACGCTCCTCCTTTACACCATTCTCTCTCCAGCCACGCTCCTCCTTTACACCATTCTCTCTCCAGCCACGCTCCTCCTTTACACCATTCTCTCTCCAGCCACGCTCCTCCTTTACACCATTCTCTCTCCAGCCACGCTCCTCCTTTACACCATTCTCTCTCCAGCCACGCTCCTCCTTTACACCATTCTCTCTCCAGCCACGCTCTCCTTTACACCATTCTCTCTCCAGCCACGCTCCTCCTTTACACCATTCTCTCTCCAGCCACGCTCTCTTCCTTTACACCATTCTCTCTCCAGCCACGCTCCTCCTTTACACCATTCTCTCTCCAGCCACGCTCCTCCTTTACACCATTCTCTCTCCAGCCACGCTCCTCCTTTACACCATTCTCTCTCCAGCCACGCTCCTCCTTTACACCATTCTCTCTCCAGCCACACTCCTCCTTTACACCATCCTTTTGACAGTCAGTGCCCTCTTTTAAGTCATTCTTTTTACAGTCAGGCTATATGTCAATGTGTCTACAGCCATGTTTCTTTCTCCTTATTCTCTAGATACTCTTTCTCCCCGCCCCAATATTTTTTAAGGCATACACACTATTGCCATCTTTCTCAATTTATGCCCTCATTCTTTTTCAAATACATTCTGCCCTTAAAGGGGCACTCTGGGAACTCACACAGATGTAATATGCATGCCCCATAAGCTCACCTCTTTCTGTCCCTCCCTCCCACAGGCTATGGTTCACCATTTTGCTCCAAAATACAAATGTAAGTGATGTCATCTGTATAATTAGGAGAAACTTCACGGCAAAGGATTTGGGGAGTTGAAGTTCTGTTAACTTTCTACAGTAGAGAGTTAAGAACTGAACTAAAACTCCCGTAATCCCCAGCACTGTTAAGAAAGCAGAAATGTTGGCTGAATCCCAATCCTGCTGGCCTGGACAGCACTCCATGCAGAACCCTGGTAATTTAAACCCAATGCAAGGACTGAGTTTTTTTTATCTGCTTTACAATGCATTAAAAAATAATGGATCATCACACACTAAATAGTCATCTATCGCCAATCACTCAGTCTTTTGACATGTATGATAACAGCAAAAGGAGAGCAGCTAAAAACACATGTGATTATAAACACTACAAGACATTTCACTCTGCATTTATTACGGACACTTTGTAACCAGTGACCCATAAACATTTAACCATATAACTTCCAGATGAAAAAAACAAAAAAACAAAACACAAATACAATGGGATTATCACTATATAACAGCAATGGCTTACAGAGCATTGAGAGAAGAGGCTGCAATCACATGACTGCTTTGCCAAAATCCTTTTTGCTCAAGACTATGGCAAATGCTCGTAACATTAAAATAATTGTTAAAGCAGTGAGGGCATTTTAAAAGCAACTTTAAGTGGGTTTGCAAGCAGCTAAGTGTATAACGCTTCATTTATTTCTGACAGCCAAGTGATTCAAAGGAAAAGGTTTTTGATCTTGAAAAACATCAATTTCTCATTCCCTGTTCTATCAATGGTCTTGTTAAACATTCTATAATGGGCACTGGGGAGCAATCTCATATATCTTTCTTTTGGGGAGGGGATTGGAGGGGGGGGAGGGTGAAAGTGCCATCAATCCCAGAAAGCAATGAGCGGTGTGGATCACATAAATATAGTCCATTTCTCAATTAAGGAGAAAACCACGCAGAATTTTTAACCGAGCTCAGCAAAGCGTGTCCCACAAATCAATAAAAGCAGTCTTCCTAATACACTGAAAATATGCAGCAAAAGGAAACTATGTGTAGGGATGGTCTATGAATACAAGGGGAATCACATCGGAGGGATACACTGAAAAACCCATAATAAATACATCCAATACAAACAGATTATATTGATTAATAAAGCTTTCTTTTTACGGTAATCTACATTTTAGATGAATAAGGCACCCCATGCTATTCAACACTAGTCTATTTAAATGATCAACACTAACACAAGAGTTACAGTTTATAAGTTGTGCCAAAAACAATAAGTTATTTTGGTTTTAAAGCAGCTCGCGGCCACCAGATTGCCTGCGGAGCTGTCACAATCTGGGGTCTTTGCAAAATATATCAAGACCCCAGAAGGTGACAGAGCAACAGGAACTCTTCATGTTCCCCACTCTGAATGCAGCATCAGAGTTCATCGACCTAACTTACAACAAGCTAACTGCAAGCGTGAGCCTGGAGATTACATCACATTACGAACTTGTTGCTGGAAAAATAGAGTGATCTTTGGTCAGGTAAATTCTGCTCCAGACCAAGGATCGCGTAAGAGCAGGCCTCACGGCACCACATTGCATGTTTTAGAACAGTTCTGACTTCTTACTCTACCTACACTACTTCAAACACAGAACTTCAGTCTCTCTGATCTAAATCCAATGGGCTTACCTCACTGCCTGTGAGCAATCAGTTGATGCTCACAGCCAATGAGCTACATCTGTACTGCAGGGCTTAGCTCGGTAGAGCTGGAGGAATCTCCAAATGAAGTAGGAGGGGGTGGGGGGGGAGAGTGGCGCTCGGTAGGTCCCAGATAAAATGTTCTAAAACAGTTTGACTACATCCAATGTGGAGGAAGGGGCACCATAACATCTACATCACACTGTAGTGGTTATGGTGCTTGAAGTGTTCATTTAAATTAAAAACATTAGTAATAACATAAGTGTATTTAACCAGGCAAGTACATCTTAGGGTCTATATTTTGTTACCCAACGTAATACTCATTTTACTGACCTCAGGAGAATGAAAGGTGGAGACTACTATCAGGAATCAAAAATGTGACTGAGATAATGCAACTGGAGTCTTATCCACTGAGCGATCTAGCCTACATTTAATGCACCATTCTATATCGGAAGCACAGAAACTGCAGGGTTCTGCATAAAGAGAAATTCTGGGACAAAGTTCTAAAAGGTTTACTATCACCATGGAAACCAAGAGTGTTTCATGATGTTTGCTTCACGTACAGAACATTGCCCCACAACTGCGCTTTATACATAGTCCCCTATGTAGCAACTGTATTAACAAAAAAACAAACAAACAAAAAAAGTGATATCTTCAACTGTGTACAGTCATCTTACAAACTCCGTTTCCACCATAACTCGAGTCCAGACCTACCTTGGCAAAAAGAGTTTTTCCAGTACCGGGTGGGCCGTACATTAAAATGTTTCTATAAAGACCTTTATTCTTTTTTGTATTTCTTGTAGCAATTGCTATATCCCTCACTCGCTCCTCCAGTTTTGGCTGAAAGAAAGAGTAGAAAATGAATTGATCATCCTTGGCTCTTGCCCAATGGGAGAAGAATATAGAGCAGAAAAAAAATAAACAATCAGTTTCCATATTTCATAAAGAATACAAGACTCCTCCATGACAGTTATTAAGAGTTATATTAATTTTATAATTATTCAAGCATAGGTTTCTATGAGAGAGCTTAAAAGATGCTTTCACACAAGCAAGTGGCCCCAATACATTTCATTTAGATAAAGCCATGAAAGAAGCTATTTGCACACATTAATATAAATGGCTGAGAAAACACTATATGAATAGATCTATTTTTTTTATAGTGTATTCAAAAATTATCTTAAATATGATGGATCCCATTTAAGGCAAAGATGAGGATCTTAAACAAATGAGGTGCTTTAAAATTACACAGGTTTATCCCAACAATATAAGCAATGTTTCAGTTCAAACCCCAGACACAACTAGCCAATCTAGAAAAATAGACAACTCGGCTACTTTGGCGAAAATGTTGCAATCTGATTGTTCGATGCACTTTGTAGTGAATACACCCCTGTGTGATATGGCTATACCTGAACTAAAACAGTTCTGACTTGTATTAGTGGACTAGGTACTTACACTTAGAACGACACCTTCTAAGGCATCCTGAACCTTGCTGAAAACACGTTTCGTCACCTACGAATAAAAACACAGAGAGAGGAAAATAAGTTACCATAGAAGTTTAATCAATACCATGAATAAGTGCACTGATAATATAAAACTGTGACGCAGCGGTGGCTAACTGCTGTAACTCATATTTGCAGAATTGTTTATCTGGGGCACCATGGTTAGTTGGCTAAGCATCATGGGAAATGTGCTTTAAATATATGGGGTACCAAGGTCAACCATCACTGCTTTTTAAGGATGGCTAAGCTTCCAGGAACTACATTGAGCATGATGCCCGAAAGAGACAATCAGCTGACTGAATGACATTTGAGTGTCCAAAGTCTGGCCAACAATGGTGACATAAAATGGATGTTGGGAGCAGAATAGTGGTTTGTTGCATGTATAAGACACTTTATAAACAACATAGAATGCAAATGGATCTCCTGCAACGTTAGAAGGCTGTGAATAAACCATGACTTTAAATGTGGATCAAGTCAACCACATAATGGATGGTCCTGATTGTATGTTTATCTAAAAACAAATGTGTAGACCTGACGTGACCCTTAGAACGTTTTTTTTTTTTTTTTTACAATGAATCTTCAATTTATACCATGTGCTTACTTTAACAGGATGCTTTGCTGCCTCTAGCACGGTGATACGGGAAGTGTCTCTAACCAAGGATGGCTTGCCAAGACGGGCCTCAATATATCGGCCAGCGACACCAGTGGCATTCTTTGCAGTGTAGACACCCAACGCAAGTATTGTTAACCCTGCTGCCTGTAAAGAGATTGCCACATCACCAAGTTAAAAAAAAAACACACACACCGATCAATGCGTCATATGAATTACAGACAGACCATTCATTGGCAAATCCCACGTGTTAAGGATTTACGGCCCGTGAAAAGACTTTTAAAAGATTTATGACAAACAGTTTATTGATGTTTAAGTTTATATAAAGATCTCCTCAATGGATAAATCTGCACACCTAGGTCTGGTTCCAAAATGTTAAGAATTATTTTTGTTAACCGTGTAAATAAGCCATCTGAAATCACAAATGGTCTAACCATCACAAATATGTGTTTCCATGTACCCAGAACATCATCATTCCAGTAACACATTGCAGTCTAGAATCAATAGAGAATACAGCTTCTTTATTTCCCCTCCTGATTATTTGACCGCTGTGCTTTTGGCTCTGCAGTACAGAAGGTTTACACAGATTTGCTATCTCTTGTTCAGCAAACAGTCAGTTGAATGACGTATTGAGCGTTTAATGAGATATATGGCCAGTTCCTTTTGTTAGGTTATTGTACCTGATCAGGGGGGCAAACCTTTAAACTTATTACTAGCCAATGATGGATGTTGATTTTCGACAGGAAGCAAATCAATATGGTGTTACTGTATCTGTAAAATCATATTAGAAGCATATAGTTCTAGTCTGACACCCTTCTTATGATACTTTTTCATTGAAATAAGAAAAAAGGAAGTGGTGATTTTTTTCTTCTTATGATTAGTATAGAATATCTTTTACATAAAAAGATCAATGGAGGAGCCAAGTCAATATTATACAGTGGCTTTTTAATATTAGAAAGGTCATTATAAAACTCAGGTGGGCAGCTAGGTCGTGCCAAAATAAGCCCCGAGAGATGGAAAGAAGAGATAAAAGGGCTGCTACAAAATTCAAAGAAAACATAAAAAAGTAAGGAAAGGTAAACTGTTCATCTTTCAAGTAAGGTGATAATTAGATATTTTACGTTTTTACTGTGCAGAAAAATAAAAGAATGCATGAGTAAGAGCCAACTGCAATATTAGAATAAAAGCAGGCTTCAGATGTGCTGTGAAATGCTGTATTCTTGGAAGGGTATGCTTAAGGCTGACGGTTCGAAGGTTGCCAGCTCACTAGGTCATGCAAAATTTTCAGGGCCAAGCTTCCCACAATAACCAGCACTATGCAAAACACAAAAAAAAGAATGCACTGTATGAGCCAGGAAACTTTCAAAACAGCTAGCGCCAGGATGACAGGACACAGCCAGTCTGTTTCTGTTGGAATCACTTACATTAAATATCTGCCATTTCCATTAAAAGCAATGATGTCACTCCAGCTAGTAAGGATTCAGTTTCCAAAGACACTCAGCTAGCAAGAGCATTATGAGAAAGGTAATCCCCAATAGCCAGAGTGTCAGGAGTTAGCAATATCTACCATGTGATAATGTCACCTAGGGATGCACTGAAATGAAAAATCTGGGCCGAAACCGAAAATTCAGGATGCCCTTGGCCGAAAATGATTTTCACAGTGAGAAGACGCCAGTGTCCATAGGAAAGCATTGAGAAATCCTTTCCTATGGACTGACTGAATGTGTGCGCGGCTCTTGCCGCGCATGCGCATTCAGCCGATGACGTTGGAAGGAGGAGGAGAGTCCCCAGCGCAGAGGGAGGCCGGCGCTGGAGAAAGGTAAGATTTTAGCCCCTTCCTCCCACTTCAGCCCAGCCGGAGGGGGGAACCTATTAACACTATAGTGCCAGTAATACAAGTTTGTTTTCCTGGCACTACAGTGGTCCTTTAATATTAGACTTTTTAATGAATTTAATCTAAAGGCATAAGGCTATCGTAACTATAAGATAAGGCCAGGGACTAATGAAAGTATTTAGAAAATTGGGCAGACTAGATGGGCCGAATGGTTCTTATCTGCCGTCACATTCTATGTTTCTATGTTAATTTACAGATTCCATACATAGCTTATAGGGCATGGCACTCTGAGCCAATCAATGCTTCCCAAATTTAGATAAAACCATTATTAATGCAGAATTGAAATGTCCTTATTAGCAATATGCAGAGGGAAGGGGCCAGGGCCACTGGCGACTATGGTTTTATGTCAAATTTCACAAAACTGTTTGACGCAGAACGAGGCGACAGTATCTCTGCAACCTTCTAGCACCATATCCACTACAACAGGCTGTAGAGATTACAGTGGTTAGAGTGCCCCCATTAAAAGGCATTAAACACAATAAATCTATTCTATCATGGAAGCAGAGCTCAAAATATAGTCAGAGACACACAATCACATGAATGAGGTCCCTACCTCCTTCCTGGAGAGAACTTGAAATGGGTCTTGGTGTACATTCAAATGGCAAGGAATTCTATACTGGGCATAAAACCACATTAAATACACTTTGGGTTCTAGATCAGGAAAAGGCCCCACTATGGTAAAATATATAACGGAAATCAACATGGTAGTGCAGATGATATTTCGGATAGAGCATCTACTGGACCTCAAAAGAGTCATAATTTAAATCGCTACAATTCTGTATGTTAGCCTGCATGATTGTTATACCTGCAGGCCACGTACCATATCAAGGAAACTTGAACCAAATTGTGGGCAGAATCAGATTATGATTGCTCTCCACCAAACTGATCATCTTTAAAAACTTCTCATGCAGTGTTCCACACAACTCTCCACCATGGTGGACCACAATATTTACAGACCGGGTATGTACTTAGTGTTTCTTCTCGTAACTTTAGGTCATCAAGAAATTGAAGATAAGACCTTCTTCCGTCAGCACTAGCCTCTCATTTCAATTTCCCTAATTGCCCTATTTTTTTCTGCTGAATGCCTCTACGCGTTTTTTTAGTTACCGATTCAAAGCTTGCTCTTTTTTTTTTTTTATGAGTAATGTGTTTAAAAACCATGCAGTACAAAATTTGCCTATTCCATTTATACACATGGAAAAACGAGAAAGAAAGAAAGAAAAGGAAACAAAGAAAAAAATAAATAAAGATGCGACGGCAAATTTCACATTGTAAAAGAGTAATAAAAAAATAAAGAAACGAGCGGTTTTGGTTTAGCAAAGAACAATCATCCACCGCTCACCAGGAAGAATCTGGAAGGAGGGTAGAAGTGACAGCTCCCATTAAGAAAGTGTCACTGCAGGCAGAGAAAAGGATACATAACTTAACAGACAAAAGCTAAACTATCCCCAGGGGACAGTGCAAATCACCAGCCAGGTGCTCGATGGGAGATCGCAAACAGCAGAAGCCTTGGTTGGATGATGGCTGACCTGACAACGGATATGTTAAAGTGACCTTTTCAAATTCAGCTAGAAGACAGACGAATGCAAAGCTTGCTTCATTTTCCACTATAAAAGTAGTGGAAAATTTCAGGAATAAGCAAAAAAGATGTGAAGGCAAAAGCGGTCAAGGAATGGTGAAGTGAACCAGAAGTGGATGGCACAGAAAGATTATATATCCCTCCCCCCATATGATTTCTCTTCTATAAGTGGACCTGATCACCCCTCCATGTGACTCCCCCCCTCCATACAACACGAAGTACTAGCAACAAGAATTACAGCGCTCGTTCACCAAGGAAGAATGGCACGATATCTTTAGGTTAATCTACAAAACGTCCATTAGCACAAGGTTTTAGGAATCCGGTTTTAAACTTCTCACACATTGGTACAATTTGTACATATTATGGGGGTGCTCCCAGGTACAACCCTTTTGACAGTAGGTCCATGCTCTTGTCTCTAACCTCACAGACAAACCTGTCTCTTTGAAACCAGAATGTTACTTGTTACACCACTTCCAGTTGCCCAACAGACTCTAATGTAGAGGAGTGCTCCAGTTCCTGATAAGTGTACTACTGGACTCAATGGCTATCCTTGAGAGAGAGCCAATTGTGAACGAACCACTGAAGGATGACTGCCCTCACCCACACCTCCATTTTTTTGCCTCCTTCATCCTGTTCCCTTCACCTCTTGTACTTCCATCTCCACCAACACAATTTTCACATTACTACTACTACAAACATTAACAGCAGAGGTATCACCAAAATGCAATTGTTTATCTGTTATTCTTTTAAATATGGATATTATACCACAAAACTCTTGTATCGCATTGCACTCTAAAATGTTACAAAAGGCACCCAATTGTTAAGACAATAATTCCGTCACCATCAGCCTGAGGTGATAGGAACTCTATTTTTACTGCCGCGGTTAAGTAAGAAGAAACGTGGAGGATTAGCACACCAACAGTGCAGTTTTATGGTTCCACAGTTCCCTTGAAAGGAAGGGTACATGGTGGAGCTGCAATATAAGAACTGTTTGAAACAGTTGTTCCTTCAGTGAAGTCGTACCCAGCAAAATTCCGACACGTACAGTGGTATTTATCTAGTTTGAGAAAGGTTCAAGTGTGAACGGATATGTTGATGCGCTCACTAATTCTTTTATGGTGAAATAATGAATATTTGATTTCAATAAATCTAATGTTGCAGCTCCATCATTACTAGTGAAGCTGTAAACACATTTTGTAGACATAAAAAGAATAATTTCATTTGTTCTAAAAGCAAACATATTTGATTATTGAGTGCCAAGTCTTTTGCACAGGCTCCAAGATGGAACTTCTTCATAACCGTTTCCCTTTCAAAGATTCGGAGCCTGTCTGATTCACAAACATAGGAAAATGAACACGAGAAATATTGTGCAACAATGCACCAGGCTCTGAGGATCTAACCACATCCATGCGCCATTGTATCGTACATACAAAGATGGTACAACTTGTCCGCTATATAAGAATTACAACGTTATATGCAAATATGGATTACATTTAAAATTTATTGCTGTAAATTTCACTAAGCCAGGCAGTATTCTGTCACATTTCTCCGTGCAATGCTGGTATAACTCACCCTAGCAAAAAAAGGTAGCAAACCTACATGCATGTAAAACAGAAAATACAAGGGTCATACATAGAGCAAAAACAACCCGACCCCGAGAAGCTGCATCTTAAAGGACCACTATAGTGCCAGGAAAACACTCTCGTTTTCCTGGCACTATAGTGCCCTGAGGGTGCCCCCACCCGCCGTGCTCTAGGGGGTGGAAGAGGTTAAATTTACCTCTTTTTTCAGCGCCGGCGGGACGACGACTCTTCTCGTCATCGGCTAAATGCGCATGCGCGGCAAGAGCCGCGCGCGCATTCAGGCAGTCCATAGGAAAGCATTCTCAATGCTTTCATATGGACGCTGGCGTCTTCTCACTGTGAAAATCAGTCAATGAGACAGCCACTAGAGGCTGGATTAACCCTATTATAAACATAGCAGTTTCTCTGAAACTGCTATGTTTATAGAAGAAAGGGTTAACCCTAGCTGGACCTGGCACCCAGACCACTTCATTAAGCTGAAATGGTCTGGGTGCCTATAGTGGTCCTTCAAGATGGCCCATTACAAGCATGTTATCTAGATGGCCCATTACAAGTATGTTCCAACATTAAAAAAAAAAAATAATCAAAATCACAATAATCATTTTTAAATGAGAAAACATTTAGAATGGAGGCAAAGCCCTCTTTTGGGAATTCAAGATCTCTCGTAAAGTAGAAGCTACATGTCCCTTGGATGAGCACAATCCAACAGAGAAGACACCTGCGAGCTGGAAACAGTTTTAGAAATAATTAAGTCTCATTGTTAGAATCAATAGAATTTCCACTCCAATCCCTGACAAAGTATTTTGCATCGTCAAGTCATTTCTTTTTTAAACTCATGTGGTAGAGGGGGCTTGAGAGGGAAGCTTTTATTCTGCATCTGACATCTGTGCATGCATTTAAAAATGAACAATTATGCGCTCATCAAGATGAACATAACAGTCGATTAGCTGAAGAAGGTTCTACATTTAAGAAATGCCAGAGGGAGGTTGGGTACCCAACGCACTACACAGAAATTAGTTTTTCACCCATCAAACATAAGGGTTAAAGAAAGAAGATGCAGACTAACTGCAGGGGATTAAACATTTCCTAACGTCAATAAAAAAAAAAAAACAACAAAAAACCCTTCAAGGTCAGACTTCTTTGTCATCGAGACGTGCGTATTATTCGCTTTATGAGATTGCAAACAAACACCAAGCACACAAGCCAAACGAATTTCCACAGATGGTTCTTAAAGTCTTGGCTGGCAGAGGGGTCTGACAGTGCTCTGGCCTATTAGTTCAAACATTTGTATTAGAACTGACAAGACAAGAGTAAGATTATATTGGGAAATATAGAACAGCAAAGCAAAATATTAGAGTTCTAAAGAAAAAAATATCAGCTATTGGGACACTATTACTATTAAGCTTACTGCAGTTATTATGACGCTAGGAATATGTTAGTGCTGTCCCTCTGGTTCTTGTTAAATAGCACGAATTGTTTAAAGTACCAGTTTAATATTTTGTTTTTAAAGACACGTCCCTAAAGCCAGACTAGTCCAAATTTGGAGACTGGCTGGTTGTAGATACTGCAAGAGCACTGGTAATTGTCAAATCATTTGAAAAGGACTTACCTGAAGTCCACTTATCTCTCATTGTTTCTACTAGCTTACTTTACTTTTGTTTCATCGCCTTTTATGGCTTTTTGCTTTTTAAAGTGCCCACAATGCATGGAATGCTTAAAAGGTGAAAATTACTCCCGGTTTTGAATGCACTACACAGAGATTGCGTATTAAAAAAAAAATTAAAAAAAATGATAGCTACCATTACAGTTCTTTGCAGATGCATTGTTCCATGTGTTTGACTGCAGATAAAATGGTAAATACAAAATAGGTCCAAAAGTCAACAACTGTAAGAGAGGTGAGGTCAGGAGACCCAACTTGTCTGCAGGTTAAACCTTGTTTTTTCAAAACCTCAATAAGGTTGGAATGCCTTCCTCCTCGTTATGGAGTGCTGGACCTAGTTTTGTATTTACCATTGTCACTGGATGGCAGAACCACTCCCACGATATTGTCAGGGAAGTCAGGCCACCACTTAGAACTGACCCTGCGGGGAGAAAGTGCCACGAAGACATGCGGGTCCTGCGGTCCATGATGGCATCTACTCCCTGACTCTCTCTCCAGTGTCTGGTACTACATTACAATCAGAGATAATGGCAAGTCTCTATGAGGACATATCCATAACTGAAAAAATATGCAAACTATGCTCCAGTCACTGAGAACACTCCTCCAGGAGGAAATTAAAACCATAAGAGCTGACATTCATCATAACCTCAGGGTTAGTGGGACAGAACATCTCATTTGGAAAGTAAAATGAATTCTGCACAGCCCAAGAGCTTATAGATAGGTTCACCTCCTTAGAATGATGATATGCCCTCCTATCTTATCTCCCCATTTAAAACCCTAGCACTCAATGTGAAGGACAAGGACTAGCTTTTGAACAGAGAAACCTAGCAGACAGCGTCCCCAGAGATGCAGTCACACACATCCACTTCTACCACGCAAAAGAAGCACCGTTAACTGCCGCAAGGAACCTCAAACAATACCATGAATCCAACAGTTGCCCAATGCTCTACACCAACACAGACCTTTCCCTAACTACAATTGTAAAAAGAGAAGTCAGCAAAGCCACCGAGCTACTTAAAAACGCATTGCACTGAGGATGAGGTGGTACACATCACCAAATCCACCCTGGAAAAGGAGAACATGCTGGTCTCTCTCATGCACGATAGTATGCGGAGACTTCAATTGTGTTCCATATCCTATACTAGACATACAGGGCCTTCACAAAGTACTGCCCTCAAAGATCACAGAAACTAAGTTCATCTCTTCATACACTCATGCATACACATAATCTATGATACCTGAAGGGAAATATACCCAACCCAGAAAGACTATTCATACATCTCTCCACAACATCAAAGTTACCTACTTATTAAATTTTGCCTAGTGAACAGCTTGCTGCTAAAAAAAAAAATTCAAAAAATTGCACATGTCGGTTTAATCAGATGGTCAGACCACATCCCTGTAGGATTCTCTCTTGCACTCTCCCAAATGATAACTGGCAGGAGCCTATGGCACCTAAGCAATACTCTTCTGTCTGATGCATCCATTGCCTAGTCTTGAATTAAATCCAAGAGTTTTTCACATTCAACCAGTATAATGAAACTACAGTAGCAAATAGATGATAAAGATGTCTTAAGAAGCATATTCATTCAGCAAGAAGCACGAAAAAAAAAAAAGAGGAAACATTACACTCAAAAAAAGGAAGGACTTTATTTCCCGTCTCCACACACTCGCTTTCCTCCTCCATTAGATACTCACCCAGTCTCCACTCCTTCAAAAAATCGTTAAAAACCCACTTCTTCAAAAAAGCGTATCAATTAAACTGTTAATAGCTCCCGACTGATTCCTCTCTTGCAACTGTCATTAGTCTAATACTATCCTTTCTTTTTTGTGTCATTTTAGGGCCCTCAACCCCTCTGTTCCTGTGTGTCCAACTTGTCTGGTTACAACTACATGTCTGTTCGTCCACCCATTGTAAAGCGCTGCGGAATTTGATGGCGCTATATAAATACCATAATAATAATAATAATAATAATAATAATAATAAGAAGAAGAAGAAACACTCAACAATTCAAAACCATCCCAAACAACATATAGCAACATTCACAAACACAATAGTCAATGAATTGGCAGCCTTCTATGAGGCTCTGTTCCACTGAGCACTAGACCTGCATAACACACATCCAGATAATCCTACCATACACAACCTTTTTGGACATTTCCCTTCCCAGAATCCTCCCCATCAACAGACTTTACGATACACTCAAATATATGTGTGAGGAAGAAAGCGATACAGCTGTACATCTAAAAGAATATATCACTAGGAACATAGTGTGATATTGCAATACAAAGTCAATTGACACGCTTGTTATAGATTGCACTCACAAGACTTTAAGATCGCCTTAAAGGTGCCTCCCCAAGAAAGTCAGGAATCCAGGTTAGGTAAAAATCCTGTTTATTGTACCAAAAAGGAACATAAAAAATATACATATAAAAATATAGCAATACAATTTACTATACGTTTCAATCACTGAAGAGGAAGTAAAAAAGCAGTGATGTACCTATCTGCCAACAAAGTCCCAGGACCATGTTTACCAATATATATTAGTTTATTGGCTCCTGTGTTGATACTTCATTTAACTTTCCTCTTTAATCAGACCAAAGCAAAAAAAACAACAATTTTTTAAAATTACACATGTAGGTTTAATCAGATGGTCAGACCACATCTCTGTAGGATTCTCCCTTGCACTCCCCCAAATGTTGCAAGCTATAATTATCACCCTTCCTGAACCAGGCAAACCCCCAACCACCTGCCCTAATTTTAGATTTATTTCGCTTCTTAACACCAAAACCTGGCAAAGAGGTTCAACAAGATTCTCCCCCTACATAGTATCCTCTGAACAGGCAGGATTTGTCTCCATGAGATAGACATCCGACAACACACAAACACTGAACATAACAGAGACTGTAACAAAAAGTAATTCTCCTTGTGCTAGGTAACGCTAAGAAGAAGTTAGTGCTCTATATACTTTTTCCTGAGCCAAAGTAAGAAATGCTGGGTTTGTCTTTGCCCCATTCAATATCACCAACAGTACAAGACAAGGTTGTCCCTTTTTGTCTTTATCTTAGCACTTGAACCCCTAATCCAAACAAAAGTCATGCAAGGAGTCCCTACCCAGGTAGGCAAACTTAAATTGGTACTATTCGCTGATGACATTCTACTCAACCTATCCAACCATTGATTTCTCATTCTAATCTTCTTAGCCTTTTGGAGCACTTTGGCAAAGTGTCCTAACACAAAAACAACACTGGTAAAACGCAGGCCCTACCTTTGGGGATACCCTGTGACACGGTAGAACAGTTGAAAGACTTGTACAACTCTGCCTGGAGGAACTCCTCAATCTCATATCTAGGAGACCAATTTACAGCCAATCTACACACAACCATAAAAAAAAAACAAAAAAAAACAAAACACTGCAAACTGCTACACAAAATATAACAGACACTGGGGCAACACTGAATTCTCCTGGATTGGGAGAATCCACTTCTTCAAAATGTCCACATTGTCACAAATCTTATTTGCCTTCTGCAAACTTCCAATACCAGTCCCCCAACACAGTCATTGTTAAATTCCATACACTGATCAATGCCACATTTGGGGGGAAAAAAAAGTCTTGAGGACCTCCCACCAATCAAGATGCTCACCTCCTAAACTGGGAGGCTTGGAAGTACCCGATGTACAAAATAATGAGACAACATCTTCCGTGGCTCAAACACGGTTTATAATATGCAGCACAAAACAGTCCATGTGGGCATCCTAAGAAACCTCATACTTACACCAGCTCCTATGGATCCAAAACAACCACAGACACATGTTTGCCATCTGGAGGAATAAAGCTCTGCTGCTCATAAAGGAACTTACATCCCCTTAGTTTGGCACCCCTGTTCACCTTAAAAATCTTCCCTTAACGGCATGGGGAAAAAAAGAAAATGCAGAAATGACAAAAGGTACATCATCTATACACAGAGGGCAGACTCAATACGTTCCAAAACATTACCACCAACTATAATCTACCCTCTAAAGAGATGTTTACATTTCTCTGCATGAAACACATCTTGCATTCACAAGGGATAACCACGATCAACACCCTTGCATCCTCATCATTCATAAAGGCACTGCTCACAGGGAAACGCTCCATTAAACCACTCATTTTGCTATAGCCAGATGGCACATCACTCGGCAAATAAAAGACTCCCGTATATGCTTTTGTGGTAAACAGAACTAGGCCGAAAATTCTCATTAAACACATGGAAAAGAGCAGCGACCCAATTACTCAAGACCTCACAGTGTACTGCTCACTGGGAAACAAACAGGAAATTACTCATGAAGTGGTACTTCAGGTTATCGCATATTTACCAAGGCTCTTCAAACATCTGTTGGAGATGCAGCAAAGAAGTGGGCACACTGACACATTTTGGAAATGCCCTTTGTTACACAATTTCTGGGGAGATGTTTAAGCACTTAAAAAAAAAAAAAAAAGCCTTCACCATACCGGACCACCCGGAGGCATTACTGCTGGTTACAGTCCCTCACACTATAAAGGGACCCAAAAAGGTTCTCCTACAACATATTCTTATAGCCTCTGTTTCAACGTTAAATTGTGTGTTGAGGTGACAAAAAAAAATACATAGAAATGACCGGCCATCTCTTAGGCACCTTATACAAATTTGATCATACCTGGCCTTTGTGGACATAATCAGAAGAGAATCTCTGATCAGACCATTGGGGGTCTCTTCCTCTCCTCTTTTTCCCCTTCTTCCTCATCCCCCACCCTGCCTACCCCTTACTCCTCTCACTCTTCAAACACCTGGCATTTACCCTCTCCCATACTGCCCACCAGACAGTTCTAATATCTACCTTTAAAAATCGAGAGACAAACAGGGCCCCGACGTATAAATGGGGAAATGATATGCAGATCCACACAGTGATGGCAGGACTGGAACGACTGGATACCAACAGTGTCCCAATACTCCTTTTATGATCCACCGTGCTAATGCACAGTAACTAACAGTGTTGTACTGTTTAATAGGTAGTGGAAGAAGTGAAATGGTGTAGCAGTTTATACAACTTGACCTGTGTACCAATTACTGTAAATCATCAATATAACCGATGCCCTGCACACAGACTTTAGTCTCTTTCAGGTTTGTGTTTCCTTTTATTTTCTGCTATGTCATCCACATTGCAGTCAAACCTACAAATATGGAGGCCAAAAGCACAAACACGCTAGAATTCTTAGACGATGCACTAGTCGTCCAGGGAAGGGACAAGATGGGGGTGTAATTTACAATAAAAGGACCACTACAGTGCCAGGAAAACATACTGCGCGCGCATTCAGCAAGTCTCATAGGAAAGCATTCTCAATGATTTCCTATGGACGCTGGCGTCTTCTCACTGGGAAAAATCACTGTGAGAAGCGCCTCTAGCGGCTGTCAATGAGACAGCCACTAGAAGCTGGATTAACCCTATTATAAACATAGCAGTTTTTCTGAAACTGCTATGTTTATAGAAAAAAAGGGTTAAACCTAGCTGGACCAGGCACCCAGACCACTTCATTAAGCTGAAGTGGTCTGGGTGCCTATAGTGGTCCTTTAAAGTAAAAAATAGCTGATCTGGAAACATTTGTAACAAGTCAGCTAATGCTTCTAGTTTGACTACTCTGGCCTTAACGTTTAAATTCACTTAGGATTCTCAGTTTAGTGAAAAACCCTGTAAGAAATTCTTCCACTAGCTGCCTTTGACCACCATGGTAGCCTCTATGCCTTCTACATTCTGAAAGCTGGGCAACAAAACCTGAGAGGTCCAGCCAGCACCGTCTTCGTGTCCGGGCTAGCGGCTGCTCTATATAAAATATCCCCATAGTCGACTGACAGGAGTACGAACACCGCAATCACTACACAAAACAGGTACAGCACACTAAATATGAAACAAGCTTTAGATTTAACAAAGCTACCTAAAACCACAGATACAACCTATCTGATCTGAAGAAAGTTTTATTATGTTCTTTGATAAACCTCTCGACTGTTTATCTCTAGTATACAATTCTTGTGTTAAAGTAGAATATAGGTATCTGTGTGTGTCTCTACACTAGAGAGAAGTGAATATGTAGGTCACGAGTCCAAAACGCATTAAGAGATGTATTTGCTTAAAAAAAAACAAATTTCTAATTCTACACAAAAAGTACTCTCCAATTCCAGTTACAATCAAAGCTTGGTAATCTTAGCCAGAATTTTACAATACTGTTTTTAATTCACTCCAATCCAAAATTCAGGAATAAACCCATAAATAAGGGTCAATACTGCATCGTCACCAAAATCACTTTCCATTCAGTCTGCCAAACCGAATCATTGAATGCGGGTTTGCTCTGTCACTATAGGATAAATCTGTCCTTTTTTGACTAGTTGCCAAAATATAATATTCAATGAACCCTAGGCAATTTTTTTTTAAAACCTGTAAATAAAAATTAAAAATTGAAAAAAAAAAAACATTTCCCAATCCTTCTTGTGTCCTGGTTTACAAATTATTTGAACCAGGGGGATGCAAATTAGCTTTACATTTAATCTTGTGTGTAGAGGCTGGAATGGACAGCACAGGACTCTGTTTGAGTGCCACAGTATAACAGATGGACAGCTCCGCATTGCACTACAGACAGATTCAGCCTGGCAACACACAAACTCACCATGTTTATTCACAAGCTGCAGAACCGATACCTGCAGATAGCCGCATACACAAGAATGTATTTATTTAACTCTGCAGCACCATCTAGTGGAGGGAACCGAAAACTTAAAATCCGCTGCATTATGAGTTTTGTAAAGAGAAATTGACATTGCAAAGCTCATTATCGTAGAAATGATTTGTTTAAACGCTAATCTGAAAGTCACAATTAGACCTGCACACATACTAGCATATCATCATGTGAAAAGTTTATCATCATGTACAATACGCATTAATATTTAATGGGTCATATAGACTTTGAATCTCTACAGCAACGTTAAAGATTAACTAAACACCCAAAACGCTACAGCTAACCGTACTGGTTATGTGCAGGAGGCATTAAGTGTGTTGCCCAAATCAATTTGTGAAACAATGTGGGAGCTTTGCTTACGCTTTTTCTGTACAAATTTGGACTGCAATGATCGGTGAAAGCTCTGGATTAAGCCACCCCCAGCAATTTCACTCATTCACCTCTCACACGGAGACGTGTAAAACTCACCAGTGTGTGGGTAATGAGTTTATCTGTGACAAAATTGTTGCTAGTGATTTGCCAGTGTTAATCTTTTCCCTACCAGTACAAAAGGCCAGGAATTTCTAATTCTTACATATTTGACCAGCCACGGGAGCTGTACTTATGGCAAACACACTGATTTGCCTTTTCTGTCTGTCTGTCTGTCACAAAATAGGTTACATTTTTTTTTTACAGACAAGTGCAGCTATAAAGATATTGACCTGCTATAGCACTGCAAACTGGGATTTGTGCTAAGAGCACTGAGAGATATAAAACGTGTTCACTCTTTTTACAGACTCGGGAGAAAACTATACGTTAAATATAAATACATACATGCGCTATTGGTTTGTCAAAAAAGTACAGATTAAATACAGATAGGCCAATTTTAAATGTCCCTGAACTTTAAGAGTGATATTGACCGTTATAAGATCATGACAAACTATTAGAGGAAACACAAGAGTACATTTAAAAAAGCCTAACCCCCCCCCCCCCAAAAAAGGTCTAATATCTACATATAAGAAATATATTGTATAGAAACCACTAGATGCAGGCGAACCCAATTCCTCAGAATTTGGAAATTACTACATCCTCCCGGATTTCAGACTTTTGTTAAGGCAGAGAAATATCTTGCGGCTAGTGAGGAATGTATTTTTTATGAGCCCCGCCCTCGTGCAAATGTGGTTAAAACGGCAGCCAGCTGGTGAGACAAAGCGCATGCGCGGCAATGGCCGTGGTCACAATAGGATTTCCCTCACAGGATAGCATTATTCAAGGCTTTCCTATGGGGTTTTGGGTGACGCTAGACGTCACCATGCCTAGCGTGAGGACGTCCAGTGTCCGTTAGGCAACCAAAAGTCATCTAGCCCGGAAGTCCCTCTAATGGCTGTCTGGTAGAGAACCACTAGAGGAGGAGTTAAACCTAGCAGGTTATTATTGCAGTTTCTTAAAAACTGCAAGAATTACCTGCTCAGGGTTAAGAGGCCTGAGATACTGCACCAAAACGACTTCAATGAGCTGAAGTGTTCTGGGTGCCTAAAGTGTTCCTTTAGAATTGCATAACCATATACAATCTCACTGGGTTAAGCTCTTGATTCCCTGAACACCCATTCTTATTTAACTGATGGATCAATCCCCTGCTCTGCCAGCCTGCCATATTTGGCTCTTTTACGTCTGAAATTTCCCATAAAATTTTAGTTACTGTCTTTGTAGTCTAAATCCCTGAAACAGCAATTATTCTTCCCATCATCTTTTCTCTGTTTCCAGTTGCCCCCTCTACTGGCCTGTATTGTTATTTTGTGTCTTCCCCTTTAGTCACTGTTATTCTTACAAAGAGCATTAAACCATGAACCCACCCATATCATCTGAGATTTTTGCTTTGCAGCAAACTTACTGCAAAAATTGTATAAATAACGCTTGCCTGGCTCTGTCCTACCTTCTGCTTCATATTGTTCATTTTAAAACAAATGTGCAAGTTTTTTGATATTCCATGTGATTAAAGAATTTTCACTGTTTAAACCAAGAATAAAAAATAAAAAAAAAATAAAGAATTGTGAAAAAGCATTAAGTCTGGGTAACACTCACAGCTGCTGTCACTTTGTCCCAGTCGGAAATAAAAGCACGAAAACCTTCTCCAAACACAGTTCCCGCAGTCCTAGAAGAAGGAAATGTATATTAGGAGATCCATGTGCACCATAAGCTATTGGGCTGCCGGTGGCCAAACACTGGTCAGATCGCGTGTTTGGCAGAATATTTAATACATACTTGATCGATTCCAACACCGTTTGCCGGTGCTCTGCGGCTTTCAAGCGAATCTGCTCCCGGATGATATCTGCGTTGTCTCGTTCCACTTTGCCACGAGCACGAGCCTCGGCCTCGATTCGGAGCATCTCGTTTTTGTGCCGCAACTCCATCTCATGCTCTATAGTGGCTGTCAAGAAGTAAAAATATAAAATAATAAATACCTACTAAGACGCAAAACACAATCATATAAATATTATACAAACACAGGGCAGGTTTTAATGACTAATAAGGAAAATAAATGGTGTTTAACCCCTTAAGGACCAAACTTCTGGAATAAAATGGAATCATGACATGTCACACATGTCATGTGTCCTTAAGGGGTTAAAGGATCTGAAAACATTCCATTCCATAAATACTCATATGAAAAGGATCGAAAGCGATATAACGGTGTAAATATACCAAAATATGGCAGACGATTATTCAATATCTCCATTTTAGAAGTGTATGGGGGGAGGGGGGTATATTTAATCATCAACTCATAGAGAAAGTTAAAATGTTACCTCTACGCATGGCTTCTTGTTTTTTGACAGAATCTTCTTGTTTTCTTAAATTATCTTCATTCAGCATTTGCTTTAGAAAGGCAAAAATGAGAATAGTAAAAAGATGTGCCATGAACGTAGACATTCTTTTCCAGTGATAAACTATACTAGGCTGGCAAATATGTCCTCAAAAATATATGGTGAAACAAACTTTATGATTCATTTACCTACACACATGATAACGACACATAAGATAGTCCAAAAGGCAAGGGAACCACAGATAGAAATCAGCAAGGTGTAGACAACTTGCTGAGAGATGATGACGACACTTGATGTTTAACGTCTTAAAGGGACAGTCTAAGTGCTCTGTAGTGGTTATGGTGCCATGAGTCCTCTGGCTCCATACCACAGTAAGCTGAAAAGCCATTTAGGAATAATCTGACAGTAACCTGCTTCTGTCAGTCAACTGCAGTTCTGGTCCATACTGATAAGCTAAAGCAGAACCTCATACTTAAGTATTCACAATAACAATTTTGTACAATTTTAGGCATTTTGGCTAAGAATGTCAGATATGTTTACTAAGTAAAGGATATAGACTAAAACCAGCAGAGTTTCAGAGATGGAGGGACCCCATCCACCAAAGTTTAAAAAGGTATCTTGAAGCACCATAACTTCATGATGCAGAGAGTACCCCGCACCCACGTTCATCTATGAAGAAGATTACACCATGCAGACCACAATGGACAGCCTATTCTTGGTCTGAGACAGTTCTTCCAGCATTTGCAGTCAGCCTACTTTACGTGTAAAAGGTAAATATTTTTACATTATTACCCATGTAATGTATTTTAAAAAGGTCATCCTTTTTTCATCATTGCTTCCCTATAGGCAGACCACAATATTTTATTTACACATGTATAGGTATACGCATACATTTACATATACAGGGAGTGCAGAATTATTAGGCAAGTTGTATTTTTGAGGATTAATTTTATTATTGAACAACAACCATGTTCTCAATGAACCCAAAAAACTCATTAATATCAAAGCTGAATATTTTTGGAAGTAGTTTTTAGTTTGTTTTTAGTTTTAGCTATGTTAGGGGGATATCTGTGTGTGCAGGTGACTATTACTGTGCATAATTATTAGGCAACTTAACAAAAAACAAATATATACCCATTTCAATTATTTATTATTACCAGTGAAACCAATATAACATCTCAACATTCACAAATATACATTTCTGACATTCAAAAACAAAACAAAAACAAATCAGTGACCAATATAGCCACCTTTCTTTGCAAGGACACTCAAAAGCCTGCCATCCATGGATTCTGTCAGTGTTTTGATCTGTTCACCATCAACATTGCGTGCAGCAGCAACCACAGCCTCCCAGACACTGTTCAGAGAGGTGTACTGTTTTCCCTCCTTGTAAATCTCACATTTGATGATGGACCACAGGTTCTCAATGGGGTTCAGATCAGGTGAACAAGGAGGCCATGTCATTAGATTTTCTTCTTTTATACCCTTTCTTGCCAGCCACGCTGTGGAGTACTTGGACGCGTGTGATGGAGCATTGTCCTGCATGAAAATCATGTTTTTCTTGAAGGATGCAGACTTCTTCCTGTACCACTGCTTGAAGAAGGTGTCTTCCAGGAACTGGCAGTAAGACTGGGAGTTGAGCTTGACTCCATCCTCAACCCGAAAAGGCCCCACAAGCTCATCTTTGATGATACCAGCCCAAACCAGTACTCCACCTCCACCTTGCTGGCGTCTGAGTCGGACTGGAGCTCTCTGCCCTTTACCAATCCAGCCACGGGCCCATCCATCTGGCCCATCAAGACTCACTCTCATTTCATCAGTCCATAAAACCTTAGAAAAATCAGTCTTGAGATATTTCTTGGCCCAGTCTTGACGTTTCAGCTTGTGTGTCTTGTTCAGTGGTGGTCGTCTTTCAGCCTTTCTTACCTTGGCCATGTCTCTGAGTATTGCACACCTTGTGCTTTTGGGCACTCCAGTGATGTTGCAGCTCTGAAATATGGCCAAACTGGTGGCAAGTGGCATCGTGGCAGCTGCACGCTTGACTTTTCTCAGTTCATGGGCAGTTATTTTGCGCCTTGGTTTTTCCACACGCTTCTTGCGACCCTGTTGACTATTTTGAATGAAACGCTTGATTGTTCGATGATCACGCTTCAGAAGCTTTGCAATTTTAAGAGTGCTGCATCCCTCTGCAAGATATCTCACTATTTTTGACTTTTCTGAGCCTGTCAAGTCCTTCTTTTGACCCATTTTGCAAAGGAAAGGAAGTTGCCTAATAATTATGCACACCTGATATAGGGTGTTGATGTCATTAGACCACACCCCTTCTCATTACAGAGATGCACATCACCTAATATGCTTAATTGGTAGTAGGCTTTCGAGCCTATACAGCTTGGAGTAAGACAACATGCATAAAGAGGATGATGTGGTCAAAATACTCATTTGCCTAATAATTCTGCACTCCCTGTATAGTGATGTAGGCTGGCTATTAAAATACGGACAAGCCAAATAAAACATTGACTTGGGCACCATAAGCCTGCACTGAATGTGGTTGTCATGGAAACAGTCCAACATGCACATTCTTTTCAGGGAGTCCATTTCAGTGAATTCACCATGCTGTTACCATCATAAAACCCAGAAGTCAGAAAATGGCCTTCCCATTCGGCATAAAGATAACTGTACAAAACAGGCTGATTAAGGCACAGATTTCATGACACATAAAATATTATCTATTAAAACACACACAAAATAAAATATAAATTTTAGTATTGAACCTGTGTAAGAGATTGTATGCTTACTTGTTGCCGAAGTTGGTCCTCGTACCTCTGTCTTGCGAGTTTGTCCTGGTATTGTGCCCTCTGGAGAAAAGAAAATTGAATTAGTTATTAACCAATAAACTGTTCTGTTATCAAAACGTTAGTTAACCTGCGCCCCCTATAAAACGGTCAGTTTCCCATGTAAAGTAGAGCAAAATAAATTCTAAATGTTTTTGTAAACAAATTTACACACAATAGCCATAAGTTTTCAAAATTTAGGTTCTAGTTTTATTTATATAGAAAATACCAACTTTTAATTTTTTTTATTTTTTTTTTATTTTTTTTTAAAGGGATACTATAGTGCCAGGAATACAAAGCTGTATTCCTGGCTCTATCACTCCCCCTGCCTCTAACCCCCTGCCAGGTAAATAAAAAGTTAAAACCCCTTTATTTACTTACCTTACCCCAGCGCAGATGTCACTCGGCGCTGGGTCGACACTCCAAAGTCCTCCCACGAGCAGACTAATGCGCATGCGCAGCATTGAATCAATGATTTCCTACAGTTAAAATCTGACGCTGGATGTGCTAATGCAGAGCGTGACCAAAGGTCTGTTTCAATACAGGAAGCCCTCTAGTGGCTGTCTGGTACACAGCCAAATGGATGCAGATAAAATTGCAGTTTCTATGGAACTGCAATGTTTTATATTGCAGCACTAAGTGCACATTGCACCCAGACCACTTTAATGAGCTGTAGTGGTGTGGGTGCCTGTAGTGTCCATTTTATGAGAGTTTTTAAAATGATCAGTTTTAGTGAAAAAAGAACCTTGATACATTCTGCTAAACAGTTATGCTTAAAGGACACTCCAATACCCAAAGACCACAACAACAACAAATGACTATTAAATACATAAAACCACAATGAAAACATGCAAGCTTTAATTATAATTTTTTCTATTAGTGGTATATTTAAAAAAATATATCTTTGTAACCTTTGCAAGCCCTCCCCTTCTAGCCCAGCCCAGACCTTCTGTGGCTGTCCAACCACAGACTTCCCAATGCAGCTCAATGAGAAGTATTTGCAAGGCAGGTGCTCTGGGCCAATTGCTGCATCTTGAGTTTAGCTCCATTGAGTAAACCAAACCAGGAAGTAACAGGACCAGTAGTCTGATTGACAGCCAGGGAGTATTGCAAGGTTAGTTTATAAAAGTGCCAATTTCTATTGAAATCTGCTCTGTTTGTACAATAAAAAGGAGGACACACTCTTCACACAAAGCACTTGAGCAAGCTAAAGTGCTTTAGGAGTTTGTAGTGTTTATTAAGTTAAAGCAAATCATAATCCTTTCGAAAGAGGTTTCAAAACCGTAACAGAACCATCAGATACTGGTCTGAAAAGGACTTGATAAATCAAAGTAAACACTTTAATAATTAACCAATAATGCAAAAAAGTGTATGTGCATGAGAAGAACAAACAGTTGATTACATCATCAAGCAACAAACACAGAACACAAAGAAATGTGTCTTCGCTAATCAAAGCAAGCTAATAAAAGTAGAAAAAAAGGCACTGTACCAAACAAAAAAAAAAAATTGCAAAAATCAATAACACAGCAAATACACACAAAAGCTGTGATTGCCCAAAATTTCTTGAAAGTAGATTGTGGATTGTATTTTACACTGGTTATTTTACCCTATAATTTGCAATTCAGTTGATGTCAATTTGGCATTAATTAAGTATACATTGTGTTGTATTCTTACTAGAAGAACATTGCTTCCTATTGAGGGCACACACTGCTGCCTATGGACCCCAAATTTACAGGCTATACGGTCAAGGAACAGCAGTAAAAAATAATCATAGATAAACATTGTTAATGTCAGGAATTCGAAGTGAATTTTACGCTAAAATTGCCAAATTGGAATAATTCTCAGCTAAGCATTTTCCTTTAGTGAATAACTGACTTGCATGTCCCATTTTTACACCCAAAGCCTCTTTTTCTATATCAGAGTGTCCCAGTGGTAACCATCACTACAGTCAGTACGATCCTGAATGTTTCTGAAGAATTCTATAAAATATCAGCAGTAAGATTCTGCTAACCCGTGCATTCGCGCATATAATATATTAGCAGATGAAGTGCACACAGTGTCCATTGAGTGCGCTTCATCTGCTATCTTATATACTTTAACTGGAGGTTTGCAACGTGGCACAGGGCTTACAGTTTGATACATTGAGTGATTTAGAACACAATTAAAAGATCGTAGCAATTTGCTCACCGATTGGTTTTGTTTTGTCTCTTCCTGTAATGTTTTCCTTCTCTCGTCTCCCTGGACTCGGATCTGCTCACTTTTAATCTGCTCCAGTGCAGCTTCATATTCCTGCCAATTAGGAACACATCAATATACTGCATGAGAGGTGATTGCTTGCAATTAGAATAAAAACTTCAAAACAAAATTCAGTAAATGTATCACTCATGGATAAATAAGTTGGTTAAGGAAAATAAATACAAAGTTTAATTCTTAAAGGACCACTATGGGCACCCAGACCACTTCAGCTTAATGAACTGGTCTGGGTGCCAGGTCCATCTGAGGTTAACCCTGCAGCTGTAAACATAGTTTCAGAGAAACTGCTATGTTTACATATGGGTTATTCTAGCCTCTAGTGGCTCATTGACAGCCGCTAGAGGCGCTTCTCACTGTGATTTTCACAGTGTGAAGACGCCAGCGTCCATAGGAAAGCATTGAGAATGATTTCCTATGAGACTGGCTGAATGTGCGCGCGGCTCTTGCCGTGCATGCGCATTCAGCCGGTGACGGGAAAGGAGGAGGCGAGTCTCCAGCTCCAAGAGAGCCCAGCACTGGAGAAAGGTAAGTGTTTAACCCCTTCCTCTCCACCAAGCCCAGCGGAAGTGGGACCCTGAGGGTGGGGGCACCCTCAGGGCACTATAGTGCCAAGAAAACGAGTTTGTTTTCCTGGCACTATAGTGGTCCTTTAAATGGAAAAAAAAAACAAAAACACAACAGCAACAAAAACCTTTATCACACACTGGAAGAACTGATGCAAGTTTATAACATGATATATATCAATATCATTATAGGAAACATAATTCATACAGATACGTAGTGGACAAATATAATTTGTTTTATTTAAAAAAATATCAGTATTTAAAGGAACACTATAGGTTCAGGAACACAAACGTATTCCTGACCCTATAGTGTTAAAACCACCATCTAGCCCTCCTGCTCCCCCCCCCCTAAATATAGTCAAATCTTACTTGTATTTAAGTATGCAGCTGCTGGCTCTACCCCTGTTCTGCCTGCTGACATCATCAGAAGTGGTGGACTAAGCCAATCACAATGCTTCCCCATAGGATTGGCTGAGACAGTCAAGGAGCAGATCAGGGGCAAAGACAGCATGATTCAAACTCAGCCCTGGCCAACCAGCATTTCCTCATTGAGATGAATTGAATCAATGCATCTCTATGAGGAAAGTTCAGTGTCTGCATGCAGAGGGTGGAGACACTGAATGGCAGTGCTGCTTACTGTGCAGCACCGCCTCAGGAAGCACCTCTAGCAGCCATCTGAGGAGTGACCAGTGGAGGTATCTCTAGGCTGTAATGTAAACACTGCATTTTCTCTGAAAATACAATGTTTACAGCAAAAAGCATGAAGGGAATGATTATACACACCAGAGCAAATACAATAAGCAGTAGTTGTTCTGGTGACTATATTGTCCCTTTAACCCTAAGGCAATGTTTACCTGGATAAAGTAATCCTGAATCACCATTAGCTGCCTCTGTTCAAATTTGCTGTGTTATAAGACAACATACATGAAGCATTTTGAATCACACTGAGTTACCAGAGAGTATTGAAAATTGTTTGTCTACTACAGGCCTCATTCATTTATCGTAATATTAATTCCAGTATTATAAAAAATAATGCTATCACTGCATTATATCTCGGCTTGGGAAGGTAGTATACTTGCCAGATTAATAATAAAGTTTGATAAGGCTAAAATAAATAAATAAATAAAATTTAAAAAAAGGAGCTGTTTTTTATTTTATTTCTCTCTTATTAATTTGAAATGATTATGGAAGACAAAGTCTAGGGCAGCAAGTATATACCAGTCACCCTGACATAGTGTAATACATGCAGACATCAGCATCAGGTTTCTTCAGTGCCTTCCAAGACATCTATGGTTCTGTAGGGTTGACGATTGACTTGAAGCCACCTCAGTAAGCCCCAATGTCAATAAACCCCAGTCTACAAAGTTTCAGATTTTCCAGGTACTCTTACCTTAATCTTAGCTTGTTGTTCCAGGTGAAGGGTTTCCTCTTGAAGTTTTGCAAGATTGAGAGCATCTTTGGCATGACCTAAAATATATGAAAATATAGCACTTTAGCAAAAAAAAAAAAAAAAGTACTAAATTCAGGAGAATGACCCTGGAATTAATCATTTCATTTCCAACATATACACAGATATGGGTTTTGCATTGTACTGCATTTCTTGGCTTACCTCCCCCTATATCTTTCACTTGGCATAGTAACATTTTTCTTTGCGGAGGCTCAGTTAGTGACTTAAATCGATCAGCCTCTTTCCTTGTAATCACACAATACAGGAGTGGCTAAGGGTGTACAGAGCACCTAAAAAGCAGCATTGGGAAAGTTGTGGTTTTGGTGCCGCTGAAATGTAAATATTGCCATTTTTTGAAAAACAGCAGTGTTTACATTTGTCCTCTAATGGCAGACAGACAACCACTAGAGTTACTTTCTATTTGCTGGGATGAAGAATTCCTATCACCCGACACTTGAGACATGCAGTTCTATACACTGGGCAAGCAGTGTTTGGGTATTTTAGCTTTGCTGCAGACATGGGGACTGGGTCTAAGCAGAGAGTGTGTGATCAGACAGCCATTATTGAGGTCTACAAAACGCTCCCCCCATTAGATGGTCAGGTAATTGAATTGAATCCCTGCAGAAAGCTAATGCGTGAACATTATTTACACACATTACACAGATAAGCTAAAATGGTCTGTATGCCTATAGTGTATATTTCATTTCTACTTTTCTGTATACAGAACAAAACCTAAAAAATTACCTCCATCACCCCTACTGTACCAATCCTTTCCAGTCATCTCTTTTTATATTGTGTAAAATATGGTGTAGCATAATACGGTTACATTTTATTATCCATGCAATTCATTAGAATTAACAATTGTAAGCCCCCCCCCAAAAAAATAAAAAAAAACACACAGCCCCCCCACCCCCCCCAAAAAAACCCATTAAAAACATTTTATTTAAATCTTCCTCAGTTTTATGAAAACTGTAGCTTTAAGGAAAGCATAATCATTTTGAATTAATGATGCAACACAGTGTAAATATACTGACTTTCATGTGACTGTTCCTGTAAGTACAAAAAACACATTTCCACATACTAAAATGTTAGGAAATTATTTAGGATCTGTGCTTTAGTCCAAACGTATCCTTTGACCTGGATACGGGGAATAAAAGCAAAGTTAAATTAGAGTTAGCATTTTATATCCCGATTTCAGAAAATATAATCTGGTATATGGTGCTTACAGTAGCACGATCTTTTCAGTAGGTAAAGGCAGAGAGAACATTTAAAGATATGCATTGCACTAGAGGTTTTCTCACTACATTGTGGGAGTTATAGTAAAATGTTAACCAAATCACAAATGATTAGTTTAAAAACATGGAGTGTTTGCCCTAAATTTCACAATGAAAATTCACCACCGATGCGATTAACGGAATACACCTCAAGGTCATGCCGGGGAAGTTTTGCCATAGCAATAAAACTGTTAAAATGGATTATACAATTTAACATGATAATGCAGGACTTGAACAGACATAACAGGTAGTTTTGGTCTATGATGCAACAAAACTGTATTCCTAACACTATATTGCCCCTCTGCACCACCACTCAATCAAGAAATGGTTAAAAACACTTTTCTTCCACTTACATGATTCCACTGCCGAAGTCCATCGATGCTTAATCTGGCTCCTCCTCCTGCGATGTCAGAGAGATCCAGGAACCTAGTGCGCATGCACAGTGAGCACCGTGAGCACATTAGGCCTTCCCAATAGGAAGGTATTGACTGGATGTCCTCTTGCAAAGCGTGAGGCCATACAGCGTCATTTCACGGAGTAAAACTCTGCGAAACTGCAGGAACAGTAGGCGCCTATGGTGGCTGTCTGGTAGACAGAGCCAGCCTTAACCCTGCAATGTAAACATGGCAGTATCTTTAAATCTGCAATGTTTTCAGCTCCAGGCTTAAGGGGACAGTGCACCCAGACCCTTCAATGAGATGAAATGGTCTGGGTGCCTACAGTGCCCCCAGTATTAAGAGATATGGAGCATTTCTACAAAAGCAATGGCACAACAAGCCCAAACATAAGGACAACCTTTGATATGGACCAAAGAGATCACTCTTCTTCAAGGTCGTAAAAGTCAGCCATCAGCTGACTATATTATTTAATTGTGGTATAACTTCTCATGTGTAAAGGAAAGGCAAACAAAGAAAATACATTAATTTTTAATATAACATGTTTATTAACTGCAGTCCAAAACAAATGTTAATCAGCTAAATATAAGAAATTGTTCTGAAGGCTATTTTGAACATACACTTGAATAAATTGCATACCCATGGAAGGTATAAATTTATTTGAATATTGTAACACCCATAGTATAAATCAATGAATGAGATGGATATAAAGGAGAACATTGAAATGTTCTGCAAGTGTCTTGCACCCTGCAGTGTTACAGTAGTGCACAGCATTTCAGAACAATCCAAAATTGGCCATAAGAAATGAAATATATACACATAAAACATATGTACACATACAGTCATCACCGGACTCCCGTGTAATGGTGGACCTCATTGTCAATTATGCAAAGACAGAAGTCCATCATAGCTGGCAATGACTTTTCCAAAGAATAGCCATTACAAATAGCCAACAGTTTAATTGTCAATTACACTATATCGATTTACACATTTAAATCCAGCATTAATAACATTGCAGGGTTAAAGGGACAGGGATATTGATCCAGACCTCTTCAATAAGCTGAAGTGGTCTGTATGCCTCTAGTGTATATATTTAATTTTGACTTCTCTGTATACATTCATTATATTTATACTTTAACAGGAACAGTCATTTCCCAGTACGTTTATTTTCTTAACTTATCCTCTATATTAAATAGTTTGTAAGCTCTGCAAAATAAATATCCAACTCTATCCTCCATCTTGGCTCCCGGTCAGTCCTTGGTGTGATGCTGAGAGTCCTTTTCTGTCATAGAATACAATATGTGGAGAATGAGAAATGTCCCTGCTTCTCTTACTCCAATGCAATGCGTGCCTTGGCTGTGCCACGACTAAGCAGGATTGTAATGTCAATGGCTGCCTTTAAAT